TATGTCAGAATTTTATGTTTGTCGTTGAGCCTATGCGTTCCTACTTAACCAAATGACTAACTCGAACCAACGATAACTATAGCGAACGGATAAGTTCTCTGGTAAACAATAAAGCAATAAGTGATAATTAAGACCGTACCGTAAGTTGAAAAAAATTGTCCAAGGGAATCACATAACCTCGCTCTGTCGCCCTACTGACGGATAGGTTAGAACTATCTTTTATCCACAACGCAAAGATGTCACCACCGAAGCCTTCGATCGAGAGTAGAATATATTATAAAATAAAGGACGCTTAACCAGTATCGAGTTCAGGGACGCAGGGCGCCTTTTCCTTCACAATGGCGGTGTTACATTTCGCGCCAATCTACGTGTACAGCGTGAGCGTCGCGCAACGTAATTTCACGCAGACGCGAGTAGCAACCGGCGTCCAGGGAGACACGCACGGACTCGCATTCACTGGTTATGTACGATACGTACCGTGTAACATACTTAACATCCTGCTCGCCTGGTAGCCTGGCAATCAAGACGTTTGCGCAAACGTGTGCCACGAGCACGCGTACCGGCCACGGCCATTTTGAATCTACACCCACGGCAGGGGATCGGACACAAAAAAAAAGCTAGTCAAAGACGCCACGTGTAAAAAAGCAGATCGAGAAAGCTAGTCAAGCTCAAGACTTTTAACGTCTGATCGGTCCTAGTTTATTTTACCGGGAGTATCGATATATTCGTATGGCTTTCATTTTACTGGCTAATGAAGTTCTTATAGGAAACTGGTCCTGTTAACAGTGCGAAGAAAAAAAAATTCTGCTCTAGATTCCCAGCGTGATTCACGTTGTACTTACGAAGGAGTTACGACGTATCGTGATATTCGGCCGTTAATACTTCCTTCGCGAAGAATTTGAAGAAATAATTATGCTAGATATCTTCTTATTGTATTATCTAGTATACATATACGTGCACGTGAGTACAGAAGGACTGATATTTGTTCGGGCGTAATTGCCCTTTGACTAATTGCGACAATCACTAAGGAGTCGTTAGCTTCCTCTGGTGAATTATGGGTATTAACGTTGTGGTATATAGGGTATATCATAATGTGAATGATATATTTAAAAAAATATTTTTTTGAAAAATTTACTCGACTATAGGAAGTTTAGGTTGCTGGTTGTTCTTATACGTAGGATATAAATTTTATGGTTCACGCAATATATATATATACATACTTAAGAGCTTCTACTATATATTATATATAATATATGTTATGAGTAGCCTACGAAGTATAGTTGCATATGACTCTCGTGGAAGGCACTATGGTGGTTGCCTACATACATAGTAGAAGAACTGGAACGACTATCGGGTGTTCCAACAGAAATGCCGGTCAAGAAAACGTGACTCGTGAATCGGATTGATCGTGACTGCTCCTTGCGAACCGGGCGCCATTTTTCTCTCGGTTCGACGCGAACGAGAGAGACAGACGAAGAAAGAAGAGAGAAAGAGAGCGGTATCTGTCGGATTTATTACCCCGCTTAACTCAGCCTCCATCTTTTCTACCGGTAGAAGAATAGTCGCGGATCGTTTAAGTATCTTTACCGAGGGATCGGCTTCTTCTTGGTATTTATGTCTCTTGTGTCGCTCGGTCGAGCCGCCATTGTCATTCTAATGGGAGTATCGTTATTTTTGGCGAAACAAAGAAAAAAATGAAGTACAGTTATGTATTATTTGTATGTATACATAAATCGAAGTTTCGAGAAAGAAAAATTTTTCATAAATTCCCGGGTAATTAGTAACGGTCCCGGGACTGGTTGTCTGGACAATGGAATTGTGAAATTGTCAAGTTCACGTATTACTATATATACACGTACGTCGCGGCGTCTTCTCACGGTGGCGAAACACGCTTACCGGACTTGCCGGTAAAGCAGAATAATAAGGGAATGAGAAAAAAAAGATACAGTAAAATGAAAATTCGCCATGTTATTGTCAAGCAGCGGCGACAGTCTGCGAGGAGCCATCTTGTATTCGAATGTAAACTAAGTTCGTTATAGTTTTCTTTGTCTTCTTTATATTCCCTTGCGTCAGTTTCTCCCTGCCGGGAAGACACCTTAATTACACTAACTGGACCGTCTGCTAATTATGGTAGAATGAAAGCAAACAGGTATTTCGTAGTGAATATTGGATAAGATTTTTTTATTTATTATTTTACCAACCTCTGTCACGTGTAAACACGTATATAGACGTGGGGTTCCGGATATTACGGCAGCGACAAAACAAAACTCTTTCACGTGTCCAAACGCGTTAGTATCTAATAAGCGTAAATTGAGGGAACCCTAACGCGATGTGACGCGGCAATTAAACTGCACTCGTCCTCGTCATTTAGTTTTAATTGTACCTAACGAGACTGGGTCCGCCATAAGCGACGTCTAAAGCGACACGACAATGGACTAACGGTCGTCCGAACAAAGCGATTCGTCTCGCACGCCATTCAAGTCAATGCTGGCAAAAGCCATAAGCTGCTGTTTTGATAGAATGAATCACGACGCTTTAAATAGAAAATAAAAAGACACGATCCAAAGTATAGTGGCCCGTCGACGATCAGAAAGTATGATATTCGATGTGTCGTAAATAAAATTGACCAGGGAAGTTCCATTAGAAATGAACTGGAGAAATAAAGAAGTGAAAAGGCCGACAGAAGAGTCGTATTCGTAGGTAGTATGTGGGCCAGTAATCGAAAGATAGCAATCTAACCTAACCTAACCCAACTCTAAATGCCCATCCGTAAGCATAAGAATATATATATATATATTTCTACACGTGCGTTATAACGAATAGATCCAACGCGTCAGCTTGCCTACCTGTCTGCCTAGAAAAGTTCTACCTCATCTACCTAACCTCAACTTTATCTTATAAGGGGTAACCTAACCTGGCAGGAGGCAGAGTACCTACCGCAACTCGCGATTTCGGCGATCTAACTGTTCGTTTGGCCACGGGCGAACGTTGAAAAATTTCCAGTTTAATTTGCCGCGTTTACCCGCGGAGAGACTAGCCTAATCTCAATGTCAATTAAAGAATTAATTTCAACCGTGTTTAACGTTATTTTACTTTCGTTCGAAACCACTCGTCTTTCGTTTTTACAGGGATTACCGTAATCATAGTTCCGTAGCAATTGACTTCGTTCCAACATGTCTGCCTCTTCGTCATACTTTTTATCAGAAAATCCATTAGGGGCTTCTGTGTCGTGTAAGATTTATTATTTGCACGGGCGTGTACTATCGCGAAGTGTTCTGTATTATATCAAAGAAGAAAAGATCAGTGACCCCGTGACACAACCTCCATAGTTTGCAACAACCATAAATCCATTGTTCGCGTCACTTAATGCTGTCATTATAATTAATCACCCAGTGTTAACCTAGCAATTTAAAATGGCATGGAAACATAATAAAATCCTATTGAAATCCGAGTGTCAAGTTCTTACGAACGAATCCGTCATAATAAAGAGGTTAGAATTTCCAGCACGAGAACGATTATTCACATATGAACTTTTTGACGTAGGAAAAAGCAATGAAAGGGTACCGTGGAAGATGATGAAGAAGCGTAAGAAGAGCACGACGATAAAAAAAGGTACAAGAAGAAGCGTCCCACGAAACCCTTTTTCTTTATCTTTTATCCTACCGCGCTTCCTTGCCTGTCGCGACCGGTTTCGATCGCGTTCCATTAACCTGGCGAACTTTTAGCCGGCTGCGTCGAAACACGTAGTTACCAATCCCCATACATATATATTTTTTTACGTATACTTTGGTACAGTCTGTCAAATTGAATTTTAGAAGACAAGGAAATTACTTTTTACGCTGTCATCCTTCGAGGGTCTACGGGATCTGCCTGTCCTGATTTCACCTTCCCAATTGTCTCTTGAATTCACCAACACACTATGTCACACTTCACGACGTCGCACGGGATGCATAATTATACTGATTAACGATTATCAATGCTCTAGAATCTTGTATTCAGGAAAAATCCAATCCGATGGAGACATTCAAGTCGCGCGCTTGCCGAATGCTTGAAAGATACTGAACGCCGCCGTCGTCCTGGGTTGTCCTGACCCCTTCTCTTGCTAACCTCTCTTTTTCTCTCTCTTTCTCTCTCCTGGTCAGGCTCCCACCCTGTATACCTTGTCCTGGCTGGCCTCTCGTGATATTCACTGCCCGCTACCTACTACTCCCCTGAGAGAGAACCTAATCGACCTACCTAAACCTGAACGAGCTTAACCTAACCACCAATAGTCTAGAACAGCCACGTGCGTACTAAATTATCCTTACCGACAGTTCGCCATCTATGAGCTTGACTAATGAATTCACCATTTCTTGTCTCGTCTTCAGCTTTACCAAGCGTAGGTGGACTTTACCGTTTTATCGTCACTTGGGAGACGCTAAATTCTTTGGAAACGTACTCTGGGTAATCGCATTCTTCTATCTTTTCGCAGGTTCATCGGTGGTTTAGGTTACAAATTATTTCGTAGCTACGAGACTCGCCTCCGGGTAGACACTCGCGTGAGTCATGTTCATATTTTAAAAATGTGCCTAGAGGGACTCGTGGCATAAATGTTAATATCGCTCATTCATTACGGCTGAAGCATCTTACAGTCGTCTGTACTACAGGTATAAATATGTTGTATGGCTGCTATGGCGATTGTCGTGGGCAGAGAAATAAATTCTTGCTATTTACGCACAACTCTAAGTACTTTGATATGTCTTCTTGATACCTGTATGAATTGTACGCTTGGAGTTTGCAATATTTTTAGGAGTGTCGTCCAATTTTTTGTTTATAACTCAAGTTTTGTATGAAGTTTTTTCATGCTATTTGGGACTGTCGAGTCTGCCGGTGAGTTTCTATTATTTTCTTCGTTTATTTCGGCACGAGACGGTCCCATTAGGAAATTGTTAGACTGGAAAGTCGTTAAAAGAAATATGCCGTTGCAATCGGGTATGAAAAAAAATGTATTGTTACTACGTGAGAATTATGTAAGGCAATAAAGTTAGGTTAGGTGATACGTATACAATATAAGAAATTTGATGGAAACTTATGGGAATGCTTGATAAAATTTATCAAGAACTTATTATAAAGCTCGTTTCAAAGATGGCGAATGTCGTTAGGTCCTTTGAAGCCGGTCGCTCGGACTCTCCCACATTCGGTCCAACCTGACCGCATTCCAGTAGGAATCTGTCTCAGGCTTCTCAGGCCACGGAACAACCTCTGCGTATCGATCGCCAAGTCCTGGCATCTTACGCGACGTCGGGACGCACGTGTCTTGCGATTTGATAGATTATTAATTAGTTTTCACTAATTAGGCCTGGCAGCGGGTCGCTTTCTAGCACTGTCAGAAAGAGGAAATCATTTACGAAGGAATAAGAGAAAAAGGTATAACCGAAATAATTCACGTGGACGATTACAATATTGTCAGGTTAGTAATGGCGGACGTTCTTATCTCGGATTTTTTTTTAAACATCAAATTTTTTTTCAGTGGTTAAATGTAGGAAGATGCTTATAAAAAATTTTTTTTATGGGTTTCAGGATGGTAATAAGGTGTGTCAGAACTTGTTAGCTGGTGCACGCTGCTATTTGGTACAGTGGGCTGTACCACGGTATTGCTGGCTCGGTGACCTAGTGACCTCGAGACTCCAAGAGCCCCGTAGGCCACCTTAGGATAAATTGAACCGGGTATGCATAAAAGTCGATTGCGGTCTTGGCAACAGGTGTGGGAGTCAACAGTGGAACAATTGACGGATCCATGAGAGTTAATAATAACCCAAGTACAGACAATTTCAAAAGAGGAACATTCTTGTGTTACGAAAACAAAAAAAAATCACAAGTTCGAGGTTAAGATTCGAGTCTTATGAAACGCCCAGGTATTTACAATTTGACAATTGAACTTATAGATTATTAAAGCAGTCACCGTTGATTAATTTACTGAAACTATCAAATTATCATTTTTCAGATTTCATTATATCGATATACACCCAATCATCGATTATTGATTGTTCGATTATGTTTCATGATGAATCTCGGTAAGCGATCTTTATTTATTTATCTTTCTCCATTTTAATCTCATCAAATCCTCAGGCCCTTCTCTTTTCTACGTGGTCTTTGTTCACGGGACACGTTTACGGCTCGTGCGTAACGCACAAAAGAAAATGCGCGTGCGATGAGTCAGAAAGTTACATTATGGCTTGAAGTAAGAATCCACCACCTTGTGACAATGGCTCGTCAGGTTGTTTTTGACTGAAGATTCAACCTGAGAAACCCGCACTGAATGTTATTGCATCCACATTGCGCCCACGCTTGAATACCAAAGCGGATAACAGCGGATTCACCTGTATGAATTGGCTTTTATAAAGCCACACGGTATAACTCAAGATAAAGAAGTCCCTTTATTACCATCAAGAGTTCTACGCCCCTTGCATAAACTATCACGACACCCTGTTTGAACTTTCAGGTCAAGCCTGCAACGATTCACAAAAAAAGGTCTATTTAATTTGTCTCCTCTTTCTTCTTCAACAAACATTTATAATTTACTACCAATTGCTTTACAGGTGTATTCTGTTACTGCAATGCCAAATATTAATTGTTCTGGCGGAAATTATATATACATATACAAAGGGCGTGCATCATCTGGCATGGAATTCTGTATTCAAGGATGTACCTGGGATAAACGCGTGTCGACGGACTCTACTAAGCACGTGTTCCTTCCCACTCTCAGTCCACTGTTTTTCCTTACATGGAGAAGCATACCTTCGCGACAGTCAATTCGATTAAATTCAATGGCTTCATGGCGAGGATGCAACGTGCTATGCAGCGGCGAGTGGGCCGTTGCGTCAAGTCGTGAGACACCTGATCAAACAGGAGTGCAGAGTACGTATCGGGTGGATAAAGAGAAGAATTTCTAAGAAGAAGAAGGGAAAAAACATAAGAACGTCAGTGTCGTTGCGTATTGAAAAATAATATTTTCAAAAGCGCCGTTCCTTTCAAAATTAATATTATAAGCGTGTACGTCGATCAATCAATTTTTTCTGCAAACAATTCAACGTCACACGTGTTCGACTTATACGATTCTATTATACATATATAACGTACCCCATTATGTAATACGGAATGAATTGTTAAGAGCGGCGGGAAATTCAAAGGCGTACAGTCTCCTTGTCTCTTTAGTCAGAAAGTAAATGCAGACCCTGTAATTTATTTTCACGAGGCGCAATGAATCCTTTTTACGACGCGTATAAACGAGAGCGTTAACGCACTCTGTGGATTTCGTAGGCCGTTTACCTCTACAGAGTCGCTGGACAATTATGCCGCTCTCGAAATGGCTGTGCAGGCAGACCGATACATAAGCAAAAGGAAAACAAAGAACTTAAGAGCGACAAAAAGAGCCCGGAGGATGCAGAATCCTGTAATAATTACAAAGAAAAAAAAGAAAGAATAGATAAAGCGCGCGTGCGCGAGCGGAAACCGCGACGATATTAATTTTCGGATAGCAAAAAGATCATCATTAAAACAGAAGCAATGATCCCAAGCATGAAATCATTGTAATAACAACCGGAAGACGTACTTAGGTTTATCATATCTCTAGTAAAAACATCAGTAGCCTTTTAATCTGTGTCAGAAGTATAAGAGTATAAAATTCTTTGTCTCTTGTCGCCAATTAACTGAAACCGCGTTATTTGTAATTTAACAAGAGTAATCTTTCTGGAGGCTTGGACGAGACAAAGAAGAAAAATAATGGGAGTTAGCTAGAATTAATTTCGCACTGAATTTTTTTGTTAATTAAAGAACCTACTTTTTAATTTGAAATTATGTTAAACGCTTTATGTAACGCGTATCTGGGCATATATTGTAAGACACGTAATACAAATTTCTGAACTTTCTCGGGAGTGGTGCGTTTATTTCAAAGCTTGTAAACTTGCCGGAGCGTTAACTTGCCAAGTTTCACTTTTATTTAGCTCTATATAGTCATATATGCACAGAGTCATTTTCTCGCGCTTCTTTCCAAGACGGTTTCACCGCTCCTTTCAGACAAGTTTGGCCTTCGTTATATATAAACGTCTGTATACAATCCATAAACTGGAAAACAGTTATACCTGTGTTAGCTTCATGCAGAAGTTAGTCATGGCTATTTAAAAAAATGTTCGTAATCAAATAAAGCTATAAATATTAGGCAAAGTAAGACAAATACATACCTTATCATTATTGAGACCAAGCGACTCGTAATCCGAGTCCACATAAAATATAGAAGCATTTTGACGATGGAACCACATAGTCAATTATTTATGAATAAATATCAATATCGACTAGCACCGTTTAGGTATAATTAATATAAAATTACACTGATAGATTTATTCCATTTGACATATCCAAACGATTATTAATCGTTTTAACATTTATGGTAAGTTTGTCTCACATGATATTCCACGGATTATATTTTTAACTCGTGATACTTGTGTAATCAATGATAAAGACATGACGCAGTCGGTTGCCGAATACCGAGAGAATTCATAAAACGCTCCTCGTGCGACGAAACTCGCCTGAAAACTGGAAAGTAACAGCGGGCCTCCTGGCCTTTCAGTATGTATTCTCTGTGTGTGTTGTATCCTCTGGCTCGTTTCTACTCCCACCCTTGATACACGAGACGTCACTCTGATTGGTCGACATTCACTAATTAGTGCCTGAATAAATTTTGTATTCATTGAAACAGCGTGGAACAGCTGATTACAAGTTTCTGTATCGTCAAGTCGTTGTGCGTATGCGTGTTTGATAATCCTTGGACTTGGATGAGAAAGGGAAAAGTCTTGTGGAATTTTTATTATATTCCAAGAGAGCTATATCGTCTTTCTCAGCAGAATTGAGAAAGCTAAGAATGGATAGATTTCGATTTCGAATGTCAATTTGCGATTCTTGGATTAAATTAGTCTTGTCCTCTTTCACGAGGAAATTTAAACAGCGCGCCTTTTACCATGCGGGTTCCTCCATTTCTCCCTTCAGTAAAACAATCCTTGCCAAGTTCTATCGAAGCTTCAGTTGCAGCATTGTTGTCGCTTTAATCGGTTTGCCTGTCGTTGTAGTCAGTCGACGAATGTGAACTTGTAGTTCAAAAAATAGGCCGTCACCAATGAACGAAAAGAGAAAAAGAAAAAATTGACGTGTAGAGATGCGCAGGCGCAGGACTGGAGTGGCCGTTGGCCCCGAGTAGAGTTTGGGCCCATCAGAATCTAGTGGGACAAACGCTGGAGAGGGTGTTGTTGCCCCAAAGAGGATAATAAGGATTTGATCGGCAGCTTGAGTAAGTTACAATTTCTTTTTTTTACCCCCCGAGATTGGTGGCTGGCGCTGTTAACCACGGGACGCGCCTTGTACCCGAAATTGTCTCAGGTTGTCAACGAGTCCTTTTGCTTATTTGGCATCGCGACATTGCCTGGACAAAGAACACACTCGATCATGGAACGCGTTATTAAATACCATTGGAGTGAGCTCAAAAAACACAGAATCAGTTGCATAAGATCGTGCAAATTTTTCAGCGACACCCGCCGCTTGTAAAATTTACAGCATATATGTATAAGACGCGATAAGTGCTAGATGAACGATACTGGACTCAGGTCATCCATTATACGAGGCGTGGGATAAGGGTTGATACCGCCATAGATAACAATTTAATGGTTGAAGAAAATGTTGGTTGGCAATCGTAAATGATGAAGAATGTTAAAATAAGCTGAATGGATTATAATACAGGATCATCGACCTAAAAAAATGCTGATTCATTGCAGATGCGATTTTTTTGGATTAGAAATAAATATATGTACGTCATTTGAGAAACTTAAATGTTGGGTAGTTATAGATAGAATTTAAATTATTTTAACTTATTTCGTTTTTGAAATAAAGTAGTTGATTTTGGTAATTGTTCTTGTCGTTCAAGAGAGACATATCGGTTTAGACAGGGAGTCATTTTATATGCAAAAATCGTATTCGGTTTACAGTATGGCGTGGAATGAAATATTCGTTATATTTACGAACTAACTAACTTATTCGTGACAGAACTGATTGCTTCAAAAATAATTTAATTAATTTTACACTATTAATGTAATTAGGTTTGGGTTTTATTTTAGAATAGATATGCTGTGCGATACTGTATTTATTCAAAGCGCTACAGATCCTCTGTGTTTTCTCGGGCGATCGTGTCGCTCTAGTTTATTATAAATTTATAAGGTGTTGTATGTTACTACTTATGAAGCCAATGGGATTTCAACCTGAATTAATGAGCGTGAGGGAAATATAATGAATTTAAAAATAATTAATAGAGAATAATTTTAGACATTTTCTTAAAATTATTCTTCCGGTAATTTAACGTATCTTCATAGAAATTCGTTTCACTTGATTAAATTAGATTTTTTCGATACTTTGATATTTATCCTAGTTTCATGAAACGCCATGTACATTTTTTTATATATACATTGAAGACTAGACGTTGCTCGAAATTTTGTTTGCCATGTGCTTTGAATAACCATGCTGAAAAATTAAAGTGTTATATATTTAAGTGTGAAGATTTTATAAGAAAAGAAAATTCTAGTTTCAATGTCAAAGTGCAATAATTAACTTTGTAAAGAGTCGTTAATCATGACTAATGCAGATTTAATAAAAACCGTAGAGCCACATCTGGTACCAGGGTAAGACAATTTAACCTTTTTTATATATATATAAAATGTACTTATGTCTATAATTTTTTATCTTACAGATACAGTGGCTATTGTCCTCAATACAGATTCAGATGTGGCGAGACATATGGAAATCTTACACACAAATTGCTTTTGGATCCCACAATCAATCATGCAGAAACTTTAATACTTTCCAATAGGATCTCAGACGATTATGAGGTGCATGAAGTTTTAAATTTATATTAAAAAATAATTATCTCTTGTAATTAACAATTGCAGGTAACAAGACCGCCTAAGGATGACATAGACATTGTAAATTCACGTTTTAAAAGAACCAATCCTGTATACATACATCCAATGCTACCTGGATACGAAGGTATCTTTGAATTTATCATAAGAAAAAAGGACCTGAAGGTTTTTTTTATTTTTAGGATTCACGCCAAATCTGAATGCTCGAAATGGGCAGCGATATACCGTACTGGCTACAGAAGGACTTGGGGAATTTGAGCGACAACAATTGCGTGACAAAGCTGCCCTCAACCAGTTACACAAAGTCGTTGCTTCTCAAAGCGGAAATGACGTACCACGCAATCTCCAGGAACGTCTGGTTAGTCAAAGTCATCAATTTCTGATTATCGTTAAGAATAATACTGGAACTAAGTAGCGAATGGGAGAAATTAATATGTCAAGTCTCTTTCATTTTCAGCTACTGGAAAGTCAATTTAGACTTCCGATGCTTTCTGTGCGACCTGATTGCGTAGGAGTTATGAGGAATTTACCATTGGATGAGCAACATGAGACGCCACGTGATCATGCGCCATCGCCATACTTTATGGATAACGTGAATCCTAAGAAGTATTTCGTGAGCGGTGAGTTTTTTTCATTCTTTTTTTTTTAATCATTTTTCCTATCGTCGCGAAGTACGCAGATTATTGATAAATAGCTTAACCCCCTTTTTTCAATAAAAACTTAATATTCTGGTCCTACGAAAATCACGTAAATTCAAGAAAAATAGTTTCATTCGGATCTAAAAGTTTATTGAAATTTTTTAAACTACATTCATAATAATTCGTAACTTAGCATGGGTCTTACTAACAGTGAAAATCGTATGAGATATTCTTTCGTGCGTGAAAATGCGAGGAGTGAGTAATTCCTGATAAAAGATAGGGCCACAAAAGGGAATTTGAATGTTGATTATTTTCCTTAGGATATACTGGATATATTCCTTATGGATATGCACACTTTGGTGCTACCAATTTGCCTATGACCAATAGTGCCTTGTGTGATTTTACTACTAATTATCGTACAAGACAAAGCACCGAATGGGCACCTGCTAATATTTCACGTCCTGATCCTCCACTGCTTATCCAACCTACTGAAATTTATCACAAGCACGTTGGTCTCATTCCCAATTATCTTGGACATGTTCCTGGCTGTAGATTCAGGTATGAATTTATAGCTCATTATCTCTGGTTGAGTTGAATGACGTCAAAAAAATTTCTTGCTCCGTATTCGTTAGATTTGGTAAAACCTTCGGTGCTGATAGCAGAGACGCAAAACGATGGCTACGCGGAGATTTTTCTATTTAAAGATAACAGGCGGACTGTTCTGTGTATTCAATGATAATAAAATATTAAATATCTAAGAGAAACTTTTATTAAGTTTAATGTGAAAATATAGATTCTTATGTGCAATATAGAACGCTAAGTTAAAGCATAATATATTTTATATAGTACATATTTAAAATTATCATTTTCTTTATTATTAACTGTACTATGAGACGACGTAAAATTGTATTATACATGGTAAAAATTCTAAAGTAGTATCTATGATAATTGTAGTATTATTATTAGTATTATTAAGGGGCACATTATACCAGTCAGATCGCTTCATCCTCACTGCTGCGATTTCCATTTGAGCAAAATATCAGCTGCTTTCTTCAAATTTTCATCTTTCTACACAGAAAGACACATGGATATTATATAATCTGAAATTATACAATTAATTCTAGTTGTTCTTACCTTAATGAAGCAATAGCGAACGTTATCTTCGCCCAAGTGTTTATGCTGGTCACTGTAAAATGCAGACGGTGGAATTCCTTGTACTCCAACATTCTTCGTCATCCACTTAGTGAACCTGTAGTCCTTATTAGCATCTTCCTCTTCCTGAAGCCGCACTTTATCCGCAAGCGCTGTCCAATTAGCAACCATAAAGTATCCTCCTTCCGGAACTACCGGTGTCATTCCCACATCACATAGGAATTTCGCCATGTATTCACGCTTTGGTAGTAACTCTTTAGCTAAACTATGAAAGTAGCAGTCTGGTTGACCGAATTTCTTGATTTCCTCCTCGAATCCAACAGCTACAGCTTCCTGCGAGAATCAAAGAATTTACATAAAAGTACAACACACCTAAGTCACTTGCAATGTCATTAAGTAATAATCATTTACTAATTACCTGAATAGGTGTGGTACAAGTATAAACAGCGTTCTGATGAACAACTTTTAAGTTATATAGTAGATTCTCAGGACCATAAGCCCACCCAGTTTTCCACCCGGTTACACTGAAGGTTTTACCCGCTGATCCAATGGTAATGGTACGTTCATACATTCCAGGTAATGTAGCTGAAAATATACGTTTTGAAAATCGTATGTCATTTAATTATTGTTCAATGTGTACTAGGAATAATCGCATGGTAAGGAAAAAATAATGGAGCCAGCAAATACCTATTCTAATGTGTCGATAGGGTTCGTACACTATCCATTCATAAACTTCATCCGATACAACAAGGACATTCCACTTTTTAGCCAAATCTGCAATAAACTGTAACTCGTCCTCGGTGAAGACCTTGCCTACTGGATTGTGAGGAGTATTGATAATAATTCCTTTGGTTTTTTCGTTGAAAAGACTCTCCATTTCTTTTCTATCAAAGACCCAATCAGCAGAAGTTACCTTTCCGGTGGTTTTTGTCTACAACAAATAACCTTATTTATATTTCTGTGTACGTAAGGATATTACTGCTTGTATCTAGCCATGTTTTTAAGGGAACCTACTGGTTTCAACGCAATGAACCTTGGAATTCCACCAGCTGTGTTGACCATTGGGGCATAACAATCAAAAAATGGTTCTATAATAATCCACTCGTCTCCAGGACTTGTGTGTCCTTGGAGAGTTGCGTACAGTGCTTCATAGGCACCAGCTGTGACAAGAATTTCATTATTTGGATCTAGATCTCTTTGTAGAAGCTTTGAGTATAATTTAGCAAGTGCATTTACCAATCTTGGATGACCCTGGAACAGATAAGACATTTATTGTGATTTTGTAATACTATTAGAAATAAGCAGTTAGTTATTACACTATAATAGCATCTGTGAAAAATAACTTTTGAAAGTATGATAAACTGATACCGCTAGGTCTGCATAACACTAGTATAATAGATAAGCTAAGTTGTATGTCTAGAATATAATTTTTTGGACTGTTAATTGTATATTGTTTATCCATCAATTTAATCATTGTAATGTTGAAATGTATATGATGTGAAATCCTGTTCTGAATAACAGAGTATTATTGAAAAAAAGGCTGGAAACTTACAAAACCTCTAGTGTATTGGTTTAGCAATGGATTTTCTGATGTGGCTGCAGCGGCAAGAGCTTTTGTAACATTCTCTGGTGCATAAAAGTCAGGAAATCCTTGACCAAGATTAAGTGGCTTATATTTCAAAGCCAACTGAATATATTCCACCCTACAAAACAAAGCATCATCACCTTATGAAAATGAATATTGTACACACATTTCTATATTCTTAGAAATCAGCATGAATAAGTATCAACAAATTTCTTACCACACAGACTTTTCATTTCCTTTGAAACGCTCTGGTAATTCAAACTTGGACATGATGGCAGATACTGTTCGAATGTTCCTTGACAAGCTAATACTATTTTGCAACTTGGCAGTACTAATGAATATACCAATTCTACTCAGCATCTATAAAAGAACAATATAAGCATGTCAGACATACAATGCTCAGTAAATTATTTTCTGCACTACCTTCAACTGGTATAAAGTATGTCTAAACAATATCAAAACACAGTGATATCGAAATGGAAACTTTCTATAGATAAATCACATATGGAAGACAAGACTACAATGGTTTTAATCGAAGTCACTTCGCCCCTCGATAATTAACACCATAAATCTCCATGTATTATGATAAATAATACCAAGTAGTTGTACAGTTCGATAATAAAACTTACATAACTTCTTTTATATATTAATATCAGTAAGGTGGCGGGAAAATTAACTAGAGCAAAGTAGATTTAGCGAAATACTTGCGCAATATCAACTAGGAATGAAAATTATCTAATAAAATACGTGACAGTTACGTGAAATTAAAAGTTATGATAACTCAATAAAGTATTATCGCCAGAACGATACGAACTACCCAAGAGTTCAGAAAAAACTAACTTCTCTTGACAGCAGCGCGCATATTTATTTTACGCAGCAAGTTATTAAAAAAAACCGCGCGCAAGATTAAATTTTCAGATTGCAAATTTCCGATTTTGACGAAACATCAGTTTGAAATAGTGGCACGACGAGTCTGTTTCCTTTCCTTGAATCTTGTCTGAGCAGAAAAGAAATGGAATATTTACGGTAACGAGATAAGAAGTAGCGTTAAGTTCAAAGAAACGAAATAAAATTATCCATGCCGATGAGCGTCTTGTTCCACTCAGTTCCACTCTGATAATTGTTGTAACGAGTTTAATGGCCGCGAATATATGTGAGTGAAAATTATTCATAAAATGATTTCGCGAAAGCAATCAAATATCTATTTTGAATTACTTTTCTATAAAAGTAATTGTCATTGCACTCGTACGTAATGATATTGCGATTATTATGGTAATATAAATACTGTGTAACGGTTATTCTATAAGTAGATGAAATACTTACAAAGAACAATGTAAAAATTACTTTTTTTCTTATCATTTCTTTTAGCTCATAGAATTGATTTATTATAACACTTGATACGGCCTTTGTTCGATAGACTGGTAAGGACAATATATTTAAATATAATAAGTTAAGGAACTTTCACTTAATTCGGTAATGGCTTGTGCCTACTGCAAATACGCCTGCCTTCTTATTATATTCTACCAGCATGTTAATAAACTGTACTGTATTAGCTGTAGAAACTGTACAAGGTTTCAGTTGGTTTCAGTGTAGAGAAAGGCTTTGATATTTTTTAACGTAAAAATCTGTTCTAAATGACAGAAATAAGTTTGACTTCAGTAATTATCAAATGAGAAAACGCATCGTTCATTAATTTATCTGCGGATGTCAAAGATCTGTTTTATTCACAGAGCATTAGGTATTCATTTGCATAATGGCTAAAAGAGAATTTGAATGGAAGAAGGATAATGTTGAGTGATATATGTTTATGAACGATTGATTCTAATAAAGATGAATACGATACGAGAAAAATTTAATATAATAGATGAATCGTTTTTGAAGACTGCAGCGAATGTCATAAGATTCTTTGGTGAGTATTTGAAGGTAGACAATTATTATGAAAAGGTTATAAGAAATTGAGATGATAGAAGAAATATCATTTGCAGAAAATGAAGAAAGGGAGGAGATGTTACAGAAACTTAGGATGGCTGTAGAAAATCGTTATATAGCAGATATAAAACTACAGAAAGCTGAACAAATCTCTGAAACACTTAGTGCACAGTATGGGGAAGACGAATCAAATCTTCAGCAAATGTTAGAGGTAATTTGATTTTCTTGATATTGTAGATATATCGCTGTTATTTAATGAGTATAAGATTTGAGATATTAGTGAACTTGAAATTTTTAGGAATATAAGCAACAGGTATCGCAGATCAATCCAGATGTGATTGGTCTTAAGCATTTACAAGAATATGACAAAAAAGTTGAAGCTCTATTACAAGGTACGATAGATAATCTGTTTATGCTGTGATAACACAAATAATGTATCTTTGATTTTAGCTATGGCTGAAAATGACCAACTGCAGAATAACGGGGATGAAGATATAGAATTAATGCAAGGAACTGTAAACGTAATTGATCCTATAACAAAGAAGAGAATGGTCGATCCCATGAAGAACACCTGCGGACACTCTTATGAAAGAGAAAGCATTATAGCTTTACTAAAAAGCAACAAAAAGATGAAGTATATTCCAATTTTCTATATTAACTTATTATATTTTCTATTACTTGTAAGAAGTAATCTTACCAACCAATGGTACAGTTCTTGTAAGCTAAAATTTTCTTTTCAGGTGTCCAGTTCCAGGTTGTCGAAACAAGAACTCCATAGAGTTCAGCCAACTGCAACCAGACATTGTGCTGAAGACTTATTTAAGTCAGCATCCAAATTGATTAAAGTTCTATTAAGTCTCTTTCTTTTTATTTTCAAGCATTCCCGTAGACATCGTGCCAAGTTCAAGTATATGACACCTATCACACGCCATTCTTACGCACGTACGCGCGTCACGGACCTCGCAGCAGGTTGCGCGATCCACATGCAACATTCCTCACAGCCTATACAATGCTTCAAAGATTAAGAACATTGGCACCGATGCTGGCAACAATCCAAGCAACACCAGGAACAACATGAAATTCTTAAGTAGGAAACAATTTTAGGCAAAAACTTTTAATTTAAAACTAAATGATTTCATACAACTCTGGAAGTTACATACTTTTGTACTTTAATAAAATAAACTATAAAAATGTAGATGTATCTCATAGATTTGTGTATTGTTAATCTGCTTGACTAAAGTCTGCAGTTTTGGACGACAATGGTAATATTAGGTATCACGATTTCCTGATTATTCGTTATCGCACGTCATTGATTCCACAAAATAATCCAATCAATTCGTAAGTGATCACTTAATGACTACCTTCATTCGATTCCCCCTCTTTTCTTTTTCATTGACAGTCACAATGACAACGTCCAGGCTATGTTCCCACTTCTGTTTCTCTCAACTCTACTGATCCTCTTCCAATTCACTGTTCCCCAGAATAACGTCAACTCTACTAACGACTGGGGTCTGTTCTTATCAGTGTCGCAGAAGAGGGACGAGTTACCAAGTTACAATATAGGACAGTGGGTCCAGCAGCTGCACTTGCAGCAATGCGCCTTCGTCGAAATCGGCGAGAATTTCTGTGCAGTAAGTGATATATTGTACATCAGTTAATTAAACTAAATATCCAGAGAAATTGAATATATGTTTAAACAGCTTTTCGTGGAGCTGAGAAGTATACCAGAACCAGGAAAGCACCTGGACAATTCAGAAGTTGGAGAATTCTTCCTAGGACTTTGCACATGCGAGACCCTGAGGTCGTGGAATTTGTGCTCGAGTAACCTGGCCAATGTTCGAAAATCAGAATGTACATTCGCAGAAGCTATTGCAACTGCAAATACCAGTGCCAGAGTGCATAGAAGATTTTGCGACGTGACATTACTGGCTAACGAGGCACAAGTTTGTAACTGTACAGTTCCGATGGCAGGTGAACAGCTTTACAGGACAGAAGGTAATAATCCAATGAATCTAATAACTTATAAAATTATTAATACTCCATACTCTTTTTATCAATGCTCCACTTTCAGGTTTCCCCACGTGCTTTCGCAATCCTTTACCTACCTCCATATGCGCTCCTCGTGGTGTCTGCGGAGTATCCCGGTGCACGACCATCACCATAAGAGGAATCCATTCACCACGATGCGACCCTGACTGTCACCAAAGGCAACCGGTACATATTTTATCAAGCGTTAATGTTTACCAATGATACCAGATCCCATTCTAAACCATTCAGTTCTGCGAAGAGGTCGGCCCTTGGACTTCGGTACCTCCGGTTATCAATTCACTTTGGTCACATTGGTCCTTGCCAAAATGTAACAATACCTGTGGCATGGGAATGCTCATGGCTACCGCATTGTGTCGCAACCTAGTAACGTAAATATAGAAAAGGAACATCTGAGACAATAATATTAATATGGCTTATGGATTCTCACTTACAGTGGATCACCGGCTACGGATTGTATTGGTCCAGGTTCCTTTTGGTACGATTCAGAACTCATAAGCTCATCCATAAAGTATAATAGGATTTTTATACTTTTTATTCGTTTAGCTGTCCAAACACTGCAGCGCAATGCATTTGCGACGTTAGAATCTCCAATGGAATCATGAAAGCCATAAGGTATACGGGATCCTGTACATCTACGGATGGGTGTGACGTCAATGACGTGGAAGACGCAGAGCAAGGATTTGAAATACCTAGAGATGTTATCGATCAGGATTATGATAAAGTTGATTATCCACAAAACAGTCCAGGAGGTAAAAAAAGGATTGATCAATATTTTATACGTTTTTTTTAAAATAAATATTAATAATATTTTCTTTTATTCACCTTGTACCCCTTTCATTGTTGATCTAATAGAGTATCTGTACGCTTTTGAGTACGAGGGAACTCAGAAGCCGGTGCAACGTCGTCTCCTTGGAAGGTACAGGAACGGTTACGATGACGAGAATTTGAATCTCGAAGAATTGAATATGAATTTCATGGAGGATAAGCGACATAATCAAGAATCGTCAGTGAACGAAGAAATGGCTGACGATTCCGACGACGAAGCGGATGACGAAGAAGACGAGGACGAGGACGAGGATGAAGATCAGCGGGTGAACAGCACAGAGGGCAACCAAGATTACACCGACTATGGTCAGTATAAAACTTCTCCACGTCTATTTTTCTAGAGTATCAGGAAGATCAGTCGGTTCGCCAATTTCAAGCGGAAAGAGAGAAATACAAATGAAAGAGAAATCATCCCCAAGGCATCACGACTCCTGGTGAGATCGATGGAGGACGACGACGCGGATTGCGAAGACGAGGATAATACCACAGAGGAACTGCAGTTTATCGATTACGGTGAGAAATAATCGTAGAACAAAAAAGGGTGGAGAAAAAAAAAAGAGAATTCATGATTTTTCACAATCACTATTTCCATTACTGTATTTATCTTGCAAGAGAAATAGAATAATTGTACAGTGGAGCAATGCAACTATTGGTTCTGCTTGCTGTCCCAGATGAGTAATTTTGCTGTTGTTCAGACTCTATTGTCCAAAAAAAGAAATCCAAAGTATCTTATCAATATTCATTTTCATATCGTGTATACATATAAGCCTGTATTCACAACTCACTCTTAAAGTTACTAACAGAGTCGCTTGTAGTTTAAAAGTCACTAAGAACAAATTTAAGAGCGCGCTGTTAGCACTAAAACTGAGGTCTGAATGCGGGCTATAGTATATAGACATTACACGTTTTGGAAATGCGTAAATTCACTTTTTTACAAATAATAGCTTCAGTTTAACTTTCTAGATTCCTCAGAGGCCACTGATGAATCTGGTGAAGAGTCTGGTGCTGATAATGGCGGAGAGTCTGATAACGATAAGGAATCCAAAAACGAAGATTATGACCTTTCCTCGACAAGCGTTCAGAACCTCCACAGCCTTTCGTACAAGATATTCTTATTGATCGCTGCGATCATTAATTACGTTATATGATCACTGAGCGTCTTTCTATAAACAAGGAATATCCTTAAGGCGAATTAACGTCTTGGCAGCTATTGCCATGTCCAATTGGTAAGCCCATCACCATTTGCAATTATTAAACTTCTGCTCAGGCTATTTTTTGCCATACATTTCCTATCCGTATCTCATATACTCTTTTCTTCCCTATGTCTCACATCCAACTATCATGAATGCACTATATTCAGGATAGTAAACGCAAGATTTATCAGACTGAGGAATAGACACAAGGGATCCATTGATGCCGCCATCGTACTCGGTATTACATCAAGACTCTCATTTTCATCTTTAAAGAAGGATCAATCTAGCCTTATCGCTTATGCAAATGCAACGTGTTTGGCCACACACGCGATAGTCCTCTTAGAAGTGACGAATTAAAATTATAACAAGCGAATAAAAAAGAAAAATCATGCGAAACATTTTATCTAGATTAAAGTTAACTGTGCCTTGATGATTACTCTTCAAGATCAAGGTACAGTAATGAAATGTCGAGGGGCAACTCAATTACCTTACAATGAGATACAAGGCATTAAAACTGTGACATTGACTAGACACGTACAACGCATCGCGCACGGTTGCCATGTTGTTCCCACTGAACAAGGACACCTTCTCGAATATTAATTAAAGTCTATTCGTCATTTGCTGGTCGGTAGGTACAATAAAGGCGCATCAGAAATGCAGAAAACGTAGCGCGTGATGCGAACGCGACGTCGCATCGATAAGTCGCAGGTTGCATTTAGGTACATTGACTATAACTATATATGTATGAATATCTATATATATACACACACCTAAAACTACGTGCGTACGTTTCCACGCAACAGTCTCAAGATGCGTGGGCGTCGCCGACGTAAGAGATCGGCTATCGCAGCATCTTGCAAAAATATATAATATAATACAGAGTCTAGACTCTAGAGTCTAGTACGAATAATTACTACCCGTGCAGGTGGACGTTAAAATATTTGTTGGATCCAACTTCTTCTTTTTTTTTTCTTCTACTTCTGCTTTCTTACTCACGAGGCGTGGGTAGTATGGAAGAGTGTCTAGCGTCGTGGGAACGCTTGGTGTTACGACATTGTGGAAAGTCTAAAGTTAACTCAGGCAACTGTCGAAAGTGTATTTTGACTTAGTTTTTTTTAAATTTAAAACAGAATTAAGCGTGCGTGGCAATATTTTTAGTATTGCAAAATTTGATCGGTACCGATAACGGAGAAATTCGCGCAAAGATGACACGTGTCATGTTTGTACAAATTCACTTCGAAATTTATTGGAGGTATCAATAACAGTGTTATAGAAAGATTTATAAAAAATTATTATTACCATATTGTATTCTAATAAGGAAGAATATCAAGCACGTAGATAGAAATAGCAGGTATAGCGCACTATTATAGTTAGCAAAACATGATAGATATGGTAGGACTATTTGCTTACATAAAAGAGACGCCTATTTATTTCGTCTCCATTAAAAAAAAAAAAAAGCCACGTTCCGTTATCGCTATTTTCCACAGTTATTATTCCTACTGTACAGACGTTCTCGATAGTTTCGTCATAGCTGTCGCACAGTGAGTATACGCAATTCAAGGCCATCAATTGTAAGCATTTTTACACGAGCCATCAGTATTCCAAATTTACGAAAACGATAATTCCTCGTTGTAACGAGTATTAAGTAACGCGATATCTGTCCGAGAATGCGACGATGGTACCGAAAAAAAAACGCAACAGGGAACAACCTGACCCCGGTACTCGAACGGTGATCGTACGGAGTGTTCGCGAATGGCTGTAGGTCAATGAACTCTGTTATAATAAAAAAAAGAAAGAAAAGAAGCAGAAAGCATTAAAGTCCTCTGTAACACGTAGACGGTAAAGAAACGTAGAAGAAAGATACATAGTCCTAATTCAATACGGAAGGATTAATCTGAATCGAGAAAGAGAGAGAGAATAAACTGCAGGCGTCCTTGAGGTTAAAAAAGGCAACTATAGAACATGACTATAGAGTAATAACAGCAGCAACGACACAGTACAGTACGGTATGAGAAGCAGTATGGACGATATACTTAAAACACAAGTAATCCTCCCAGATTATTCCTTCGAGGAACCGGGCCTCCGGTATCTATCTTAATTTCGAGTCTCATCCAGTATCACTGTAGCTCATTATAGTAAACATCATAGTAGCCATATCTGATTCATACATAAAATCATGACAGAGATAATATCGTAGGCTTGAAAGAATCTCCGCTCTTACTTCTCGACACGGGAGCCACGCAATTCTCTCTGGCTTCAGCATTAAAGCAGAAGAAAACGAGGAGTCCGCGCGGGTTTCCACTTTATACAACTCCGTGCATGCGGCCCGAGCCTACGGAAGGTTCTGCGCTCTGATTGGCCGTCTACGGATCACGTGGTATCAAGCCGCGGGTGGGGATTGGCCAGCACGTAGAGCAGGCGAAAGCGGAGAGTTTCGTTCTAGTATTTACCTCGCGGTAAAGCCGCATTACTCTCGCGTTTACGTTCATTGTTCGTGATATTTGACAGGCGGGCTGGCCGTTCGCAGGCGACGACGTCGTCGTCCATCGCGTGCATTGCCATGGTGTCGAGTGATAATCGCGAAACTCGCGGCTATCAGTGACGGTTTGTGTCTTGTTGTTCTTCCTTGTTAAACGTTTGCGTCTACACTCGACTCGGCTTCCAGTCGAAGAGAACAGAAACGAACCAGCAACCGCTGTGGGATCGTGGAATGTGCGCTGACAGGTATTCGCCGCCGCGCCGTCGCCTTCTTTTAACCGACACACGGAATTGTCTATGAGGGTTTCCTCCTCCTATCCCCATTTACTTTTATCTTTGTCTCTATTTCCTTCTCTTGTTATCATACATCCTTCTTCTTTGCTCTTTAGAAGTTGCTCTGTTAATCTTCTTCAACAGGCTGCAACAGAGATACACTCTGGTAGTATATGCATGCCACTGTCAATCTGCGCATGCGCCGTAGCTACACGTTGCTACTTGCTTTTGACAGCTGTCAAACGATGCACAGCGACAAATAATTATTCTGGAAAATATGGTAAAATTCCATTCTACGAATTGCCATTGTACTTCGTGTTACTCTACGTTTTCCTGTACGATGTATATAGGCTTCTGGCAGGTGTACCGTATAAGTATTCCACTTTAGTGATTCACTAAAGAGTTACTTAACGGAAGTGCTTCTCTTGCGCGAGTATTTCATCGATACGCTCCAGAGGAATGTCAGCCGGTACTATGACTTCTTTTAATATTCTTTCTGTTATCCTATCCTTCCTTTTATTAACTGAAATTTATTATTGACTATGCAGTGGATTACGTCGGTTCGTAGTGGCCATTTAGACTTGTTACTATTGAACAATTCTTTTGAATTACAAGAGAAGTTGACGCTGGTGGCTCCGGTATTTATATTACGATATAACAATAAATGAACGGAAGCTCTGCATACATATTACGTGCAGCGTGGAAGCGTGAGAACGATTGCGGATTCCAGGCGTAAGCTTGGTCTGATATTGCGTAAGAGCTGACTGGGAAAAAAACAATGGGACGCTGATAAAAGACGATTTAGCTGATAACGTTACTTCTATTGATACGGATTCACAATTATCAGTGGGTCGTGCACGTTGGTCTCTTTTTTATTATTTTACTAGTGATAATGAAATTTGCATGGCAAATCTTGCTGAAATAATTTATTATTTGATATTCATCAAATCAATCGAGTCTCCCATTTAATGGCCATTTTTTAATCTTAATCTTGCTAACTTGCTGTATCAATAAACTATAGCTGACGTAAGAAATTCTCGCGGCCCGTTAAACTCGCCGGCGCGAATTAAGCTCGCGGATCTTGCAAAATCGTTATTTGCACGAATTTTCGCAAAGAGGTACCAATAAACAGTCGGTCACGAAATATGTAACTATGTACTTGATATTTAACTAAAATATGTACTTGATAAATGGCGATTTTTATCGGCAACCCGTCATGGATCTATCTTATTACTATGAATTTATCTGTTTTTCTTAATCGTCACCAAAGTACCATTAACTTCTGTATATTTTTTGGGGAAAAATTGAAACGTTGGAAAAATCTTCAAGTAATCTTCTCATATAACGTGCGCATACGTATGTATAGTTTGTACAGTCTAATAAAGGGTGGCCATTACGAATCGACTCGAGAAATTAAAACTAATTCTCTGGTGTCCTTTAGAATAAATCCTTTCTACGCCACTTGAAGCCCGCATAGACAACAATTTCCATATTAGTATACAAGGTCGGCGGAACCTTTCTATCCTTTTTTTTGAGGGGCTTCCAGCAATCAAAACCAGCAACCGGAATCGCTATCGACGCCCAGCGTCTTGGATCCGCCTGATGTTCAATCAGTGATACCAAATAGAGCTCCATAGTAAAAAATTATTCAAATTACATTCAACCAGGTCTGGTATAGTGTAGAAATAGAATTGAAAAAAAAAATTTACTTCCATACGAAAGAAGCCCCTCGTGTCCTACAGTGAGACGGAAAGAAAGAATTGACAGTTCATGGTTAGCGAGCGACTTGAAAAACAAGAGGAAAAAAAAAGGAGAATAAGAAATGAAAATGCAAGAAACTCAAAGAAATATTCTACAAATATTCAACAGCCCGAGATGAACCAGTCGAACTCGACGTCCGTGTCGACGCCGACCAAATCCAACCAGGAAGATGAAGAGGATAGAGCCGGCCCTGACATGGACCTAGTGCACGGACCGAACCCCTGGTTACCTGCTTATGGATTCGAACTTCAGCATCATTCCCAGTTTCAACCTACGCACGAGGATCTACGGGCTAATGGTTCGTTGTCCCTATGTTACGTTACGCTACGCATTTCCCTACCTGCCTTTCCGCTAGTTTTGCCTACAGCGTCAGTGTCACGCTAGACTGTCTCCAACGATGGGGGCCTTAATAGCGAGGAACCGTAAAAAGCATGGTAACCAAAATTTTTAAATTTTTATTTACAACCAACCATTACCCACTTGCTTACGCACTTTGTGCATGCTCTTGTAACATTAATTCCAACTTGCAGGATGTGCTTTTTATTTCCTTGCGACCGACGCTCGCATCTTCTCACGCTAACCCTTTTATCTGGATTGAGACGTATGAGAATGAAGTTGGTGAGATGGAAATACCAAAAATGGCATTCATATACCGCTACGTTCACGCACCTCCTTTGCTGCAGTAATATTCAAGAAAGAAGTCACTCATCCTCGGCAACTCGGGACAACATAACCAAGACAGACATTCCCTTCTTCTTCTTACGCTCTAGATAACCGCGGGAGCTCGTATCATTACAGCGAATTTCCATCGTTTAGAAAACAGCGAGCGGCCTTTGCATACAAATCGTATGTTAATGCAAAAACTAGGCTACTTTCTACGTCGTACAGCAAGCTTATGAAAAAAGCCTCTCGGACCAGTAAGAAGCTCCTGTACAATTTTCTTTCCTTCATAATCGGTATGATTCTTAGTATTTCTGGCACATCTCATTGGAGGAGCCAGCCATAAGGAAAGGAAGGAAGGAAGGATTTTTATTATTTCTTTGACTTGTATAAAAAACAATTGTCTCATTCCCTAGACAGTATCCTGGTACGCGTTATCTGCTTCCTGCCTTTTAAATTCCGGCCGTACGATGTTACCTCGTGAAAAGAACCGACGTTTACCGAATCCAGCCGAACCAAGAACCACCTGTTGCACGTGACGCCTGTTGCAAGTACAAAAGTTGGCGGCCACAGTCGATGCTCTTATTATCGTATCGGACTGTCAATAAGGACGATATACGTCGGTGCTGCCAAAGCCAAGCGATACTTACGTACCTGGTTTCTCTGCTATTAATAACCCCGGTCTGCTCGTTCGAAATTCGTTCTTGAACGAGTCATACGACCATTAGCGTGGGAGGAATCAAAGTTTCGATAGTCACGTCTATTTGCTCAAGATTATCTTGATGGATAGCATAAACGTTATTTGATTAGGAGGCTCGATTAAGCGTGCTCCAAGGAATTGGACATTTCTTTATTGAATGGAGACAGAGAGGAAGTGCATTATTAAATGTTATTAGATAATTTTATCGCTCAAGGTTATTACACAGAAACGCTTACCGTACGCTCAGACACCTTTGTACCTAGAATTCATACTTTAATTTGCATTCTATTTTCCTTCTCTCTACTTTTCTTTTATGCTAAACTTCCTTGCTTATCCTGTATTACTCATTTACGCTCGCGATACATCCAATATGGAGTTTACACTTTATATCGAGTCGCAGTAGTATCTGGATAGCCTTGAACCACAGAGTGAAGTGTGACTTTTCCATGGGAGAGTGACCGGGCATCAAACCCTCCGAATGCCATGATTTTACGCCGTTATAACTATACCTACATAATACATATACCAACACTAAGCTAGTAAGCTATGATGTCAGTATAGTCAGTAATAGCGTCCAACTGTTACCACCACAGTAACATTCGAAGAGATAGCGAAGGCTGCGAGTGACTAGCGAGAGCGTTCAAGTTAAATTCAAAGAGAGAAAAGATAAGAATGAATATCTGACAATTCAAACGAAGTACAATGATTTATAATAATTTAAAGTCCACGATGCATGGTCAAAGTGCAAGTAGTAAATACTGAAAGTTCTTAAGTCTATTTTCATTCCTTTTTTTCTCTCTGTCTAACGCTTGACCTGCCTTAATCTAACCTAAGCCATTACCTGTACACGTGACCAACAATGTATTCCCGTCACGAGGCTGTTTCTTCTCAGAGATTATTACCACGACAAGGTACCCCTAGCTCTTCTCTGTAAATCAATGATTTCTCAACTTAAAAAGAAGCGCCTACCTGATCCGGGTTCTTGGCTCGTACCTACAAAGATTCCTTTGACATTCCATCAAGATTCGTTTTTTCTTCATTCATGTTTTTTATTGCGACTTTACAATAACGCGGGGATACGATTCCTCAATGGTGTCGTATAGTAGTGGGATGCTGGATGGTTGTATGATTATTTGTCCGTTCCTATAGCTATAATGAATCCTGTCTTAAGTACTCGTTACTGTTTACAATCGCCCACCGTCCGAGGGCTCATCTTTTGTTACAAGGAATCGTCAGAGCCTTACGTTTCCAAGGCGCACGAGAGTCTAGAGGCTGATAACGCATCATAGGATGAGTCACGACGCCAAACGTGCAGACGCTGCTCGTTAATATAATTCGTTCCTCGCAGACGAGACTTTCGGTCGTTTACATTGCATTACACCGCGGCTCACTTTCATTCGCTAAATAACAGTAGAGTGTGTCGAATTATTGTACGTAGAGGAATTTATTGTTTCTTTTTTTTTTTTTTTTTTTTTTTTTTTTTTTTTTTTTTTTTTTTTTTTTTTTTTTTTTTTTTTTTTTTTTTTCGTCAACGGGTTAGTCGTCGATTAAGTTTCTCTGCGTCGAGGAGTTACGTCATCCAGTGGGAGACGAATACTCGTGCTTTTTGTTATAACAGCCCGCGCGATAGAATAAGAGTAAATCGATGCGAAGATACAGTCTTTTTTAAACAAGGCTTCTTTATATTGCTACGATCTATTATTCTATACGATATTATAATTGTGTATATTCTATGCGCAGATACTGTACTGGTCCAGCAGGTCGACTTCCTGGAGACCATCCTCGAGGAGACCTCTGATGATCTTCAGAGCGACTCCGACCGTAGTGGTACTACCTATTGGCTGGGATCAGATTCAGAAACCGAGAGTGTCATTCATATAAGAAGAGCTGCCACAGGTTAGATTTATAAATATAATTTCACCCTTTGACCCTGTGAGAGGTGACAATGTTTCTAGGTCATGTAAATTTCTTCCTGGGATCAGAACTCGTTCCAAGATCCATTGTCTCACGTGGTCCACTTTCTCCAGTCCAGATATCTTTTCTTCACGTCGATTATCGCATGGTCCTCTTCGTGGAAAGCGCCCAACCCTCTTGGTACCAGTTTGGTACCGTTAGGTAAACCGAAGATACGTCTGGAAGAATACCCAGAATCACCTTCCGATACAAGAAGATAAACAATTGTAGCATCTCCTGTATGCGGAAGAATCCTAACGTCTGTGTATAACTGGTTGCCGTACGTTGGGCGTCGCTTAGATCTTCAATCGATAATATCAATTCTTTGAACTGGTTGAATATTTAATAACGTAGGGTCGCACGAGTCGAAATTTTAACGATCACTCGGTATATTATCTGCGCTCTACAGTCACTCGCGATGCCCGAGGCCCCTTGCGAATAACGGTGACGGGCAACGCCTCTCGTGTTAAAATTACGCAACTGGGTATAAGTCGCGTATTGAAATTCTATAATCTATCACCTCGAGTGGATCGTTCAATGTCTAGCAGTGATTTACGTCTACAATGAATTTTTTCTTTGAAGAGCAAAGCATCGTTAAAATTTATGCACGTAGCAGTAGGTTAGGTTAAGCTGGATGTGTATGTATGTACTTCGGATATCGTATGATTACTTTGTTTGGCACTCTAAAATTAGATTAGCTTTAATGCTACCTAGAATTACCGGGAACTCGTTGGATCTCCACTCGTGCATGTGCCGCGTGTAGACGCAGCCACTTGAAAATTCTGTATATGCACATGCACATTTGTCGTTACGCTCGAGCGACAAACACGACACGGAGACTCCGATTTTTATCGTCTCGCGCGAAAAGTCACGTCGCGTTACGGTGAATTTGACTTGGCTAAGTCGAATCAAGTAAGTCTTGCTGTTCGAAGGATTGACGTTAAAAATAATAACGTTAGATCGGACGGTCACGATCGCTCCTGTATCTTGCCAGTGGATTATTTGGTTATTCGAAAAATCTTATTTTCGAGCCTAACGCTCTCGTTAGCTCTGTAGCTTGTCCGACGGGTGTGCGTCTATGAAAAAATTGTGTTATTTTTTATACAACAAATTAATGTAGCTTATAGAAACTCGGTGAAAACGTAGCTGAGCTTCTCATTGGCACAGTTCATGATTCCACTCACGGAAGTGGGTCTTCTTCCTTGGCGAGCCAATCGTCAGTTGCCGACTGGCAAGTACTTCGAGTGACTCCCCTCCCGGAAGACGGTTCATTAAACCGGAAGTAGTGCTTATGGAATTACATTGGACTCAGCCGACGCCCCATTGCTCACCTCGGTTCAAGTCAATTCTGCTTTAGATTCATTGAATTCATTTGGACTGCCTGTTGAAATTGATATCGTCTTCTGTTGGTCTAATGCTTTCGATTCTTGCTTCCGTTTATGTACACGAAGAGGAGAAACCGGATGGCAGCGGAAGCGAATGTAACTCGGTAGTACCGAAGAAGAGACGACGTAAGAATCCCGAGCGGATCGGCGCAGTCGCCTGTCAGGATGACCTCACGGCGTCCCCAAGATCATCGAGGTCGTCCAGCTCCACCGGATCAAGTTCACTTCTGCAATTTGAGTCGCTCGAGAGAACCTGCGCGACCTTGTCGCCATCCAGTTACAGTTTCGACTCGCTGGAGTATTCGAATCGCTCGAATTCCCATTTCGAAAATACCTCGCCGGACAGCCTGGAGCAGGACTATGACAGAATCGTGCCAAATGGACTTCCTGGTGAAAAATTGAACGACGGATTCGGCAAGATCAGACCGTACAGGAGCTTCGAGAGCCTGGGTACTTGTCAGAAGGAAGAGGATGTCAGAGAAAAATTTTCTAATGGCTTCGCGTCTCTGTACTCGGACAGGAATACGGATTTGTCCAGGAGGAACGACGATCACAGGAGGTAAGTTGTACCGGTACCGTTGGGCACTGTGGTTGCTTGTTATCTGTAGCGATAAGTGACTAACTTAGGTATGATAAATCACTATGAAGATAAGAGTACTGTCTTTTGGATTATCTCTGGGTTCGACCTTAAACCCAGCATTGCCTGTATCACTTGGCAGCGTCTGTCTAAGAGCAACGTATACCATTGCCGCGTGACCGCTATTTTTTGGCCCCGACAATCTTGACCCTGAAGAAGAAGAGATGCTCGAGTAACGTTTGAAGCTCGAAGAGACACGGTCAGGGTGTAGTGTAAAAAATAAATTTTGAGAATTCGATTTTTTTTGGACTTTTTTGAGAATGAATTGTAAAATTAATTAGGGTATCATTGTCTCTATTTTTCTCGACGACAGAGACTTTTGGCACCAGGACGAGCCCGAGGATTACCGGGATGATCGCGAGTACGACGAGGAGGACGAGGAACTAGCTGAATTCGTACGCTTCGAGGACAGACTAATTTTCGGCGACGTCTCGTCGAATTACGCTACGTCCCTCGACTGTCGCAACACGATCGATCTACGAGAGATCGGCATTGAAACCAAGAGAGACGCCGTGTTCGATTTAAAATCAGGCCAGACCTCTAGTTCGGCGGCGTTACTACAGAGCAGGTTAAATATAGCGAGCAACATGGCACGCACTGCCGGCCAACAAGGGTGGAGCAAACCACGTTTTAATTTTAGATTCACGGATAAATCTCAGAGCGTACCCAGTCTGCCCAGCAGCGTCTTCGCGTACGGTTTTGCGCAGCGCGACTTCTCCAGCACCGAAAGCGTTCCAAGTACAAGAGGATCGTCCCAGTTCGAGAACTACACCAGGGTCTCCAGCGTACCCGTGGACCTTCACCTTTGCGGCACTTACACCCAGAATGCACATCCGCCCATGGAGGAGAGTCTGAACGATCACGAAATGGCGGACGTCGGTTCTACGATCCAGGATGACGCAACGGATCAGATCAAGGCCCAGGAAGACGGAAGTGCCCCTGGTAACAGTGCCGTAGGCTCCTCCGTGAGGACGCAGGACAAGCAGGAGCTGACGATGGTTAGACCCGATAATCCCCAGGAAGAGAGAGAGTCGTCGCCAGTTCCTAGGAAGCACCAGGTGACCTCTACGGTTAAGACCCAGGACAGGACCGAGAGCGCTGCCCTTGAGATCGCCATGGCCATCGACGGAGACATCGACGCCGTCGTCGACGAAGCTATAAAGCAATTCAAGCGTGAAGTGGAGGAGGCCACCGTGGAAGCCTTACAGAAGCCGCAGCAACAGAGAACTCGTAAAATGAAGAACAACGCGAGCTACGAGTTGGCTCAGCAGTTTGAAATTGATGAGAGGAACTTCGCCAGGATGCCTTCGTGCAAGGAAGTCGAAGCAGAGTCTTCGCCGAAGCCTGCTCCTAGAAGAAAAGTCCTGAACAATGCCAGCTACGAACTGGCACAGCAGATCGACTACATCAAAGCCATACAAAACGCAAGACCGTTTCAACGTATGGATGCGTGCGATGAACTGGACGAGGCAGCATCGTCGAGGTGTCTCAAGGTAACGGACCTAGTGGAGGAATTGAGTCGAGGATTCTCCAGTAACTCAACGTCGAATCTCGCCACGGGAAATACAAGGGAAGTGGCCAATGACGTTCGAACTTACTCAAAGTCAACGGAAAATATCTCAACATCCGGTAACAAGGCTTCCCACGCTCAGGAGAACCATAAGAGTGAGAATCACGTAGGATCCACATATTCCAGCCCGAGGAAGTTCTCCGGGACCAAGCAGCAGTCCCCGAGTCCTCGACGGGACATGGAACAGGATGGTCTGTTTAGTCAGATAAAAAAAAACTCGGATTTATTTTCAATATATGGCGAAAGTGCTAGTCATCCTGTAGACGACGAAGTAGACTCCCCCTATTTGGAGAACAAACCCATAGAAATTTCTCATCCAGAAGATGGTATACTCGACAGCGCCAAGTACAATAGACCCGCAGACGAGAACGACATCATCATAGATCATAAGAAGACCTTCATCGGTGAGTTTTATCCGGAGAAGAGTCCCCGTAATCGCAATCCCGTCTCCAGGTCGTCGTCGTCCATTGATCGATCATCGGCACAGGCATCTGATCAGGAAATAAGCGGTGACAAAGGTTATTGGAATACGGAAGAGAGTCAGCAACAACTGGCGCTACTGGATTGGCTCGAAGACTCAAAGTCCATCCTGACGTCTCGCAACGCTAGAAATTCCGTAAAGGAGTTCCAGACGCCGAGCTTCCACCAGGTGCTAAGGGAGTCTTCGGATAGCCCGAGGAAAGTGAGAAACGGTAAGATGGAAGAGGTAGAGGGTCCAGTACCTCGGGAAGCCAGGGGAACCACGTCGCGGCAGGAGGAGTCAGGACTGGTGGAGGAAGAAGAGAAAGAGCATGAGGTGGAGGTGGTGGTAACGGAGCGACATAATGTCGGCAGTGTTCGTGGCTCCCCACTGGAGTCCAAGCCGGGTCCGAGGAGTGGGAATCGAGCCGTAGTTGATACGAATCGCATGGATAACGAAGACGACAACAACGGGTTCGCCGCAGTACGCGAAGAGATGTCAGCGTCGTCGAAGCGGGAGGTCGTCATGGCGCCGTCATCGAAATTTACCTCGACAGCGTCGTCGGCGGACAGTGTCAGTACCAAGAGTGGATCGGCTACTCCCGAGAGAAAAAAAGGACTTGGTGGTCTTCTTCAACGTTTTTCGAAATTGCGATTCAGTGGTAGGTCTAAGGTGCCGCGATCGGAGGTGCAGAAGAAAAGTGAAGTCCAAGTGAATCGTGCCAAGGTGACCAGCAACAGTGGGACTCCTGAGGGTCTTTCGAGATCGAGGAACAAGGAACCGGATTATATTATCATTCCCCTTCATTCCCCGGAGGAGCAAAACAAATTGAGAGATGAGGACGTTGCTTTGGAAAAGAAGCTGGAGCAGAGATCGGTGCCTCTCTTGGACAGAAGTGGATCGAACGTTAGGTGAGGATCGTTTATTTATGTAGATTGAAATTTTGAAGTGAACCTAGAGTCCCACTGTTATTAATATATTAATTTATCTCTTTTGCTTTTTAATTTGTACTAATCCAGATTATTGCGTATATTCATCATATTTTCACGCAATGATCTCTCTCTCTGTCCGTTTAATCTATCTTGCTACGTGTCTGACAGTTTGAGACGGTCCCCGTTGCCTATTGGCTAATCCAAACTTTTGGATTCTAGCCAAGAGGAAGAAAGGGAGCGAGCGCAAAAAAAAAAGGAAAACAAGAAGATAAATAAAAGTAAAGACTAAACAGACGTATAATAACATAAGATCCACTCTGTTTACCAAGTTCCATCAGGCCGCACGATTTCGATCGTGGTTCGACTTGCGTTTCGTGACGCGGAATGCATTTCTTTTTCTGGGGAACAACGAGGTCAGTGATACGGACTGTTTCGTAATGGCCGACTGAGCCAATGAACAGTTTTACCAATATTGAACTCCCACACGTAGTGCATACATACCGTTCGGATCCTCATTATCATCATCATGGCTACCACCCACCCTCTTTCTCCTTCCACGTCATCTAAATAATCTTCTCGAACCCTTCACTCTCCGCCGTGACTACGACCGTGGGAAAGTTAGGTTAGGTTAGTCCTCGTGACGCATTACTCCACCCTTTTACATTACGCGATGTCTTTTTATTCTACAATAACAAGACGGAGTATTAGGATCAGGATGGAATTTATCTCTCGGTCAATTTGCCACTTGAAAAAAGAAACGGACTATTTTTCCTCGGCACCTCTTAACGCACATAGACGATGAATCATACGCCTGTCGGTTGCAAAATGTAATTTAAGATCTGACTCTCTTGTGTTTGCACTACTTTTACGAACTCCACTGCTGAAATAGCTTTTTATCCGCCACGGATATTCGAACGTCTCGGATACCTTTCGCTTTTTAAAGTGCCAGCACAAATTCAATGGCGTCGTTTCTCGTTCGCGCATGCGCACCGCGCCCTTCTATGTCCCGATAGATCCCTTCTTGCCTCTGTGGTTAACCTTTTTCCAGCTCGTCTTTCTTATTGCTGAAAACGTCGCGGACATTGGATGCGTCGCGCTTTATGACATTATATCGCGAGGGAATGGTATATTTAAACGTTGAATCACTTATGCATGCTAAACGTATGCGGACTAACTGTTTATTAGCGTGTAGGAAGAGACTCGGTTTCCTCTGCAATTTTGCATGCGTACTGTGTGGTTGGCCGAGAAAATATATTTCTGTGTATGCATACCCACATGTAAAGTTACGTGTGAATTAATAATATATATATATATATATATATATATGTATATGTACGTGCTTATGCATTTAGTAGGGAAGAATTGCCTGTTTCCTTGTTAATTTTAAATGACCATTAGCTGCGCGTTAGTTCGTGGAGGAATAATGGATCTTTTTAATCTACCAAATATAAGAGGCTTTTATTATCTTTTTTTTACGATTGACGTATATCAATCGACGTCTTCTGTTATCTTTGTAGCTTTTATTCACGAACGCTCTATTCTCACTCGTGCTCTAAACGGAAGCGTGTTGTTATCGTGATTTCGCTTTCAAGGCTATCGACGAAATAACAATTAATAACGTAACTGTCGGAAGAAATAAATAAATATCGCATGAAAACTTCGCGCTTGGAATTCCAATGAATTGATGGCTGTTTACTCAAAGTGCGCGCGCTCCCGTAGTAGCCGTGGCGAGTTTCGAAATCCGATCCAGCTTCCGTTGTCGCGGGCTATATAAATAATTTGAGCGGGGGTAGCTGCCTTATGAAAGTAGTTAGAACGTACTAAATGAATTTTTGAAACGATAATTTCTTGTCTCCACAAAAAGTTGTTTGCACGACGTACGATAACTGTAAAAAAAAGATATTAAGTCGCTGTAGACAATATTTTTGAAAATTCGTTGTATAAATTTTGTTGCCATGAAAAATAAAAAATTTAAAAATTTTTGATGTTAGAACAAAAAATTAATTTATTTTTTTGTCATTTTGATTCCATCAGCACAAACGGGAGGCCGCCAGTGTCCAGCAAGCCACCTTTACCACCTCAACCGCCTCGCGCACTGGCGCTGGGGGCGAGGTCGACGTCAGGCGTCGCGACGCGCCGACGCGCCGCCACGGACCTTGGGAACCCGGCGGCCATCGAGATGGCGAAAGCCCGCACGATGCAGGCTGGCTCGGAGCGCCCCGTCGGCCTGCTCGAGACCGACCTCGACGCCGCCGACGGCTCCGAGGGCGTCTCGACGCCCTCACCTGGTACAGGGCCACCTGGCAAGAAGACACGAAGTCTCCTCAACCTGAATCACAGTCGACCTGGCCGAGAGGCCAACGAGGAGAACGCACTACGTGCACCGCAGTCGCCCGGAGGTAGCAGGACGCCCGTCGACGCCTCCGTCGCCACCATCAACCAACGCCCCCACAAATCCATGGAGTTCCTCCTTGACAAAGAGAATCTACACTTCGTTAAGGTGAGTCCACGCAACGTCGTAACTTAATTATTTCATTAACAACATAGACGTCAAGGTTTGCCAAACGTATTTCTTTTACACCCCAGTAGAAGTCACCCTGGTGGAATGTCTTGTTGGATTATCTTATAATTTAAAAAACATTCTTTTTCCTATCCAGACCAACAGAAGAAACATTCGAGATCATAAACCAACCACTAAGGGCAGTTTCATCCTTATGTGCCAATCCTATGTACAATAACGATTGCGAGCTAGAAATTTGGACTTTCGTACCCAATAACGCTGGATATATAGAAGAGAGGACGCTTTAGCTAGAAACTACTAGATGGAAGTGGGCACTGAAAGTGTCATAGGAAATTGGACGGAAATTGACTCCGTTACAAAAGAAGCACATATAGCCTAGCTAGTGGTCAGAGGGCTGCCGCTGATAAATGATACTAGGTCCTAGTTTAACAGCAGAAGTGGCTGTAACGTTTAAATATTCACAAAGAGATACAAACCCCGGTTAGGTAACGTTACCTGAAAACTTTGACGTTACCCTGAAACTTTAACAAGGCACCTCGTGCACGACGTGTCGTTTCATATGTACTTAGCCTATCATTGAAACTGGTCGATCAATACATTCCATGTCAGTAATCGACAATCTCATCGATGGGATCGGCAAGATCATTTCTTCGAATCTTCTTTTCCACTGGACCCAAAGGCCAATCAATAAAACAGAGGTCGGCCAATACTTCCGGAAGTGGTGTTAGCTTCTTTTTCTTTCATGTATCTCGAGATGGCGACTTGGATGATCCTCGGTTACGGTTAAACCCCACTTTTTATTGGCCTAAAGTGCGAAACTGCTCGCGACCCTCTTCGACTTCACTGAAAATCATTTCCTATGGTTTGATCTGCCAATTTACTTTTTACCCCTCAAAATCATCCAGAAGTAAACACAGTGCGATATTATTTTGCTCCAAAGTTACGACGTAGTCTGTACTTTTATTGTCGCTTGGTTTCACTATTTTTTTTTCTTCCTTTTGCTTTGCTCCTTTACTCCGTTTTCCCCAGTAAATTGCGAAGCAAACCATCTTTCAGTCTCGCGACGTTCCCTCGCATTAAGCTTGTCACGGTTCTTTGATGTTGCGAATATTTCTTGTTGTATCTTTGGGTATCGACCTTCGTCTCTTTAATCATAATAACGATAATAACGAAGAACAGACGTAGCTGGTGCACTCAGCGGGACACTTCGGTCGAAAGAGGTTTCATAGAGACTCGCCCATTCAGTCCAAGAGAGACTCCTGAAGATATAATGGAGCTTCATCTTGTCTGTGTCTTGAAATAATTATTTGGCGAAAGTAGCCAGGCTCTTTCTGCAGGGATAGCTCGGTGGGACTTTAGACCTAGGGGTTGATTCTTGTTAGCAGAAACGTACCTTAGGGTTTTCTTGATAAGGACAAAAATTCATAAAAATTAGCAGTGACTGAGGTGATTGAATAAATTTAAAAGTTTTGAGAGACAAGATGGACGATGGATGCAATTTGAAAAAATGATCATAAGAAACGATTAGTTCTGTATTTTCTTTTTTTTTTTTTCTTCTGTCTTTTGCTTCTCTAGGTTTGTGGGTCTCGACTAGGGGTAGGTCCGGTAGGCATGCACTTTTTTTCCTCCCCTCTTTCATTCTTCCTGTCTGCTGCATTTCTCGAGAACGAAACGTTCTCGATTTTGGCACCGGCCCAATTTCTCTTCAGAGTGAAATACGTAACCCGTTTCCGTGTAAAATAGTGAAAATTTTGGGGTGGCTGGGTGAAAGGAACAAAAAGACCGAAGAAAAAAAGAGGAATCGTAAAGGAGACTCGTTAACCGGGTACAGGCATTATTTCCATCGTACATAAATTTGGACTTTGAGGATGAGATTTTATAAGAAATTTTTTTTATTTCTTTTTCTTCTCGAAAAACAATGGAAATCAAAATTTGCTCCCTCCACGAAGAAGTAATCGTAAAATTTTCTCAAAAATTGAAAGTCCACAGGTATTTTGAATTACTCATTCGTATTTTACCACCTCGGTATCCTTTACTAATAATTTGACTACCTTATTTTCTTTATCAGGACTGCAAGCTTTCTTCGAGACTTCTCGCCTAGCGATAAGAGAGAATCTAAAATCTTTTCGACGTGTCCCATCTCCTGGTATCTACCGTTTTAACAATGCTCTCCTCTCTCAACATGCCGTATTGATCGACGTTATACCTCCACTCGAGTCGACTCGGCTTGGTTGGCCTCTGGGATAGCTTTACGCTACGACTACGTCACACTATATATATGTATATATATATATACTCTATCCTACTTCGCATTCCACTTGGTGATCCACGTGAGACGAGCCACGAGGAAGATGCTCTCTTCTTTAAGACGCTCTGGCTGAATCGCTAATATTAACGCCTGCCGAAGGATCCGACGTCCTTTAAAATGCAAAAGAATAACCATTGAGTCTGTTGCGTGTACTGAGAATATTTATTCCAGCTGGCCTTTCAATGAACCGATAGACGGGTGGTATAATAAAAAAAAAAAAAAGTGGGCAACAAATAAAGTCGACAGACAAAACCGACTGAGAAGCGATTAATCTCTCGTTAAGTAACAATTTAAATTTCTCTTTTGAATAGCAACGTCATTCGTAACTGCATTCTGTGCAGGCGTGACGTAATTTCTGCGGATTACGTAAAAGGCAAAATATTTAATCATCGTTGTGCTTGGCTCTGAAATTACATAAAGGAGATACGAAGATATGGAGTAATTTTAAATTCATACGGTAAACTTTATTGGCAATGTAATTTAAGGATAAAGAATTTTTTCGAAAATTTTTCAACACCATATTCTTGAATCAACGTCGAACGGAATTGCGTTCTCAGTACACTCACTGACTGGTCGGCCGATCGTACTTCACTTCCGGTCTGAATTTTCTAATCTGGTCTCAATCAGGTAGAGGAGCCTGTTTGTCAAGACCGAAATTATGTCGCGCTATGTGCACGTGCCTTAAAATCGATGCAAGGACTATACGTACTACCTATCTATAGATATATATTCATATACCAGATAGATACATACTTGTAAGCGCACATAGCAGTGGCAGTACACTGTAGCGAAGGAGGCAAAGTGCTAGAGGGGAATATCTGATACATACACGAGTTAACCTTTATTCTGGGATCCGTTGGTAGCCATGTCCGAGTCATCGATCGAGCCAGGAAAAAGCGATTGGTCGCTCGTTAGGTTGTACCTTCACTAGAGCTACGATAAAAAGGGGATAATGTTTTATTATTCAATGAATTTATATGTCAGAGGTATCGTATATCGTTTTTTAAACCTCAGCCACAATGCCTGTATAAAGTCATCCTCTCTTACTGCAATGTCACTAGGAAAAAAAAATAATGAGCACGCACTGTAACTAAACGTAGTTTATTGTTACCCGTAAACCAACCGGGTATATTGTGCTTGGCGTTTATATTATATATATGTATATACTATTGTACTCGAATCTGTAACATGACTGGTGACTATACGAAAAGTGGGTAAAGTGGGTTGAAACCGTCAAAGCGGATACTCAACTGCATAGGTCGAGCGGGAACGTATTTGCTGCTCCCCGACTGTACGATTGGATAGGCGAGCTAAAGACCGAGAGAGAGAAAAAGAGCATTATAGGTGCGAGAGATAGGAAAGACAGAAAATAGAGAGAGCAGCGCCCGAAGGCCAAGCGAGAGAATCTGCGACGTGTAGGCGCGGGCTCCTATAGTCATCCAATATGTAATATAAAATGTATAGACGGGTCATACGCACTTAGAAAGTCGCTAAAGAAAATGCATAACCGTTAAAATGGATTTAACGATCGCACGTAGATTTACAGCGTGAACGTAGCCGAGTATCGGTAGCCTCTGGCGAAGGTTTTAAAAGTCAGAGATATATCTAAGTCGGAAAATATAATCAGAGGTGATCATCGATACAAGGATACGATACGTATCGCTGTAACGCTATATCGATTAATCAAATACGTTAAAGATCTGACCCACTCGAGTCGTAGAAGTCTCGAGATGCAGTCGTAGGAAGTTCGCGAGATAATGAAACAAAGTCGAAGATAATTATCGGAGTCGAGTGGGAGTTACCGACTGTCGCGAGTGCACGATCCAGGACACGAGCACGGGTATTGAGCTGCCAGTTACGATATTAATTAATCGACTTTTCGAGACTAGGATAAATCAATCGATTCTTTGTCGTGTTTCTAAGCGACACTAAAGTCGTTCCTTGCCCTCGGCAATGATGGCGGATGTGCATCGTCTTGACGCTGCTTCTCAATTTACGTCAATTGCCTCAGTCTCGTGTCTCTTTCTCTTTGGTGCGCTCGTGATAGAGAGAGAGAGAGAGAAACAGTTTGTGTTCCATGGCGTAATTAAAATTAGCTGCGCCGAATGCTCGTGACATCATGCACGAGAGAACGCATCGTTATGCAACGAACCCTCCGCCAGTCGTATGTTATATCTTCTCTTGGCTATAACCTATAAAGTATGTATAACCTCATCTAACGCATAACGCATATACACACCCACGGTTATTTTTTGTCTCTATCACTGAAGCTATATTCCTATACTCGTAGTCACGTGTGTACCGACCCTCACGTTGTCGACTCTTGGGTATCCACGTATAGTCTCTAACACTCCTTTGGTTCTTTAACGAGTAGAGACTCAATGCGTAGGCCAACCACGCGTTCCTGAGTCCCTTTGTTTTTGTCCGACGTTCCGTTAGGACTCTCCTTCTTTTCCTACCTCTCTCTCTCTCTCTCTCTCTCTCTCTCTGTCTCTCTTTCGTATTACCCATTCCTCTCTCTATCAACATGACGTTTCGCGTTCGCAAATCGACGCCATATGGAAAGTCGCCTTGAAGTCCTGTCTCTCTTTCGTATTACCCAGAGTCCCTTTGTTTTTGTCCGACGTTCCGTTAGGACTCTCCTTCTTTTCCTACCTCTCTCTCTCTCTCTCTCTCTCTCTCTCTGTCTCTCTTTCGTATTACCCATTCCTCTCTCTATCAACATGACGTTTCGCGTTCGCAAATCGACGCCATATGGAAAGTCGCCTTGAAGTCACAGTCACATCCGCTTCGCGTGTACGTAGCCAATGAGGAGCAACGGAACTGACGCTAGCGTACTTTTGTAACGACTTGTACATCGTTTAGTAATTTTAATACCGACTGTTTCTATACGTACGCGAGACTTTTGTATAACTTGAATGCTCCTTGTGAATGGGTGCTTAGCGTCGAGCATAGCTTTTATGGTTATGCACGTGACAGATGCTACTTTTTACATTACTTACCGGACTTCGTGATATTTATCGTTGAAAATATACAAGGCCGACGTATTATGCACGAGCTTTCGATAATACTGTGTGAAATTATGTAAATTACTAGAATTAATGCTGATATGGATATGTGTCTGTATGTATATTTTTACGATAAGATTCCTTCTGTCTTTATTATCGACGCCATGTTTGTTTTCGATCGTTAGAATTTTCAAACGTAAAATTAACTGACGCCGTTTCTATCGAATGTAAATGGGGAATATCGATAAAGTAATTTATCTCCAAGAAACGCTTACGTGCTATTTGCCAAGCTGTACAATCATTTCTAACCATTCACAAACAAGGCGTTCTTCCATTATAGATAGGCGAACTAACGGCATAGTCCATTTCTGGTTACTTTCTAAGCTGTGGGGTAGCGATTATAGGTTGGCTGGGTTAACAATACCTTGGATAAATGGTATTTACTGTTTCGAAATATAAAGACACGAAGGGACCGGTCGAGCATTATCCTTGGTATCGCAAATATTGACGATATGCTAAGGCTCTTTCAGTAGGTCTAAATAAGTCGTTTCTATAGAAACGAGTCTGTATCTCGCACCACTTTGACAGCTGACGATCGACCGGAGTCATTTAATTTACAGTGCGCTTAGTAATTTCGTGATGGTTTTTTTTTTTAAAATGATACCGTAACAAGTAAACAGCGACAGATCCGGATGACGTTAACCAGGACGGAATCGAAGAATTGTTCCCTTGTTATCCTCATGGAGGTCCGGCAATAACCTGTATTAATCGTCGCCGTAGACATTATTGAATTCTCTTGTTTTGGCTGTCAGTAATAAAGCGTATCTCCACGTTCCTGATCGGAATACGAAAAGTTTTGGTTGAAGCTTCGCGGTAATGTAAACCACCCTGGAGTTACTAGGAATGTTTTTTCAGCTGGCACGAAAAAACAACCTCGTGCTCGAAAACACTAGATGCCTTCTCGCTATGCGCCGTGTAAACAGCTCGCTAAATTCGGCACCCGTCTTAACCTATCAACTCCCATCCATTGGCTCGGTGGGATTACGAAGTATAAGCGTTGCACTTGACTGTCGTTTTAATGATATATTCTTATATTTTCCAGCCACCGGAGAACGAGTTGCAAAAGGTCGGAGAACGAGTGCCAAGCGAACACGAGCTACGAGTACAAAGGTCCCTACAGCGACTCAACGTTCCGGATTGGTACAAGAATTCACCAGCTGCCAGGGACGGATTTCGTCTTAAGCGACACTCGGACGCCTCGCAGCACGGTGGATGGCGTGCTCTTGGATCGAAGACCACATCCCTCTCGTCCCTCTCGTCGTCTTCCAATAGACAACCCACTACCGGTAGGCATTTAGGGATAGCAGTCATGGGAACTCGTAGCAAAGTCAGTTACTTGGGTCAGGAGCCAGTGATGTAAATTGCGTTACGGTTATATGATTAAATTTCGTTTACATACCAAGAGCTAACGGATCGGATACTGCGTCCTGATCTAATGGCGAATGGGATATGGGAGTAATAAATTTAACGTAGAAGGTTAACTCGATTAACTCCTCCACGTCGTTCTCGTGCCTCCAGGGGGTTGATTGGAGCCAAGTTTAATCGAGCTAACGTCCTAAACTCAGGAGTAACTACGTACACGTCTTTATGATTCCGATAGGAAACCAATTGATTGTTTTATATTAAATTCCAGGTGCTCTACTCAGTCCAAGTCCCACGCCTCCTGTATTCTCAAGATGGAGCACCAGTCTGCTGAACAGCGCGGGAAGTTCGCCGGCCAGTTCCGCCAGATCGTCCTTCAATCATCGACAGCCGTACCTTGGATGGCGCTCTCAGGAACGCTTGGCCAATCCAAGGACTCCTGCAGAACGTCTTGCTCAGGGTATACTTCCCCAGCTGCAATCAGCGAACAAGGTACGCTGAGCTTGCTGCTCCGCTTTATGAGACCTTGTACGAGGTGGCTTAACGTGCATTGGCCCAAACACGTGATTTAAATGTCACGTCCCTTGGTCGTCCACGTGCCTTCCTATTTATTTTTAATTTCCGCACACGGCTTCGTAAATACCTCGAAACTATAATTAGCGTAGACGCTGACGAAGTTTTATCAAGATGGATTGCACCGACTTCGGTCTCTCCTAGCCGTCTCGCCCTGGATCCATTCAGTGCGTTGATAAAAAACAATGTTCTATTTTCAATTACAGCAGCAGCAGCAGCACCAACAGCACACAACGAATCAGCAGCTGGAGGTGAGGAACTCGATAAAGGAAGTGACCTCGGCCATTGTGCACTACGTACAAAGTGGCCAAGAGGTCGGTGGAGGTGGGAGGCTTTCTCCTCGACCTCGACCCGAAGACTGGGACGACAGGGGCGGCGCAAGATCAACCAGCCCCAGAGGTGAGCACTAAACAACCCTGCAAAACATCCTACCACAACAACCACAACCACCACCACCACTATTATACTCCGCAAACCAGGTAATTTTGAGTTATCCACTTTAATTTTTATCCTACCGACTCACTCGTTTTTTTCTGTTTTCTTTTATACGCTTCTTAATTTTTTTTTTGAATTACCTTTCTCTCATTTTTTTTTTCCTTATAATCTTACTCTTCTATCTGTATGTATTGCATATCGTCGGCTCCTTGTGCCTCTTTTACTCGTCGGTCGCGACTCTGTGACTAACGCTACTTTTTACAAGCAAACCCTCCACGTCTCGACCATTGCCAGGGGCTGTTTAAGGTAGTACACAAACACGCGGACGCTTTCGAGCACCCTTGTTACCTTACTCCTCCTTTCAGACTCACACGCTCAGCCACACCTTTTAAAACTCACTCTACTTTGCTCACTAACTCGTCTACCAGCCCTGCACAAGGGCACGGGATTGTAACGCGTCTCATTGGAATTGCCTAATGCTGTGACACTCGGGACACGAGAAACATAAGGATCTGCTAGTCTTGTGTGTTCGATTCAATTTTATGTAACGTACCCTATCAGTTATATATTTATTATTCCGATACAATCTGAGTGTTAGTTCGTGCAATGGATTTATATATTGTCAGTATTAGAACGTAGCCGTGTCCCATTGATCTATCTCTCGGTCTCGTACCAGATCAGCTCCGGATGTCTCTCTCGAGAGACCCATGTCATTATCCCGGTTGTAAAAAAAGTATCAGCGCGCACAGAATTCCGTGCCTCTCAACCTTGGCCGCACATACTATTCTCGGAGCATAACAAACTGGGAAAGATCCAGCCTCGCGTTAGAGTCGCGTACGAAGTGACCTCGTGTTCGGCTTTTCTTTGTCTTCGGCAGAGTCCCCGCATATCTTTGGACCTTTGAGTGTATGCCGTGGCGTTTCTATTTCGACTTGGTCTGGCTAACGGAAGTAAAACTTGCCGGCCTCCTCCCCGCGGAATCCCTTGCGATACCGGGAATACCAAAGAGCGTCGTACTTAGCAGGAAACATAAATAATAGCTAGTACGACGTCGCGTGACGTCATTCCCCCCTACGACTCGTATTACGTACTGCCGTGTTACGTAACCTCAAAAATTAGTACTCGGTGGCTAGGTGGGTTGGAATGGAAAAAAAAAGAAAAAAAATTAATTGACAGTTATGGATTCACTTAACACGTATAAAACTAATAATTGTTCCAATGACTAAAAGGGAGTGTCAAACTCTGCTGGATGGAAAGCTCCTTCGTCGGCTCGAGACCCGTGGATTCGCCGGAAACCCCCATGAGTCTAGCTACGGAAACGGAATGCTGTGCCGTATGTAATGCCACTGTTACGGAATCGTGTAGCTGCGTGGATTCGGCGACTTCCGGCCTCTACCTGGACCTTACGCCAACGAGGGACGGTATCCAAGAAGGGAGTAGTCTCTGCCCATCCCCAACGTCCTCTAGGAATTATCATCATAGCCAACACCTTCAGCAACGACATCATCGCGGTGAGTTGTTGCTCGCCTAGGTGACGACTAGAGACTGTCGCTATCAGAGAGGACGTCCTCGCGATCCTGGAGAGATATCGAAGTGCTGCATTTATATATATTTATATATAAATATATATATATATATATATCCCCATCAGGACTAGTCTCTTGAATCTTTTGAAGAGGCCATTGAAAGTGTATGAGTATATATTCCTCTACCTCCATTCACGATCATATTCACGACCTGCCATCACGACGAAGACACTCTGACAACCGTAATCCGGTTTCTTAGGTTTTTTATTATTATTATTATTCTTTTTTTTTTCTAAAAAAGAGAAAAGTCGAAGGGTACGAAGAAAAGATAATTGTACGTCAAACGAAAGCGTTACTGCACGGATGACGTGCGACTTGGCAGACACTTGACGGGACGACAGACCCGGGGGACACGTTCAGCTTCGACGTAGATCTTCTCCTGGGATTTATTTTCGCTAGGCGCTACCATCAGATATCGCGCATAAATTTTCCCTCGTACCATGTTAAAAGCGGACAACCGTCCAACTTTCGGCGTCAAAGCCAAAGGTAAAGATTTTGGCACTTGACACTTTTCCGTACCTACACTCCGTCACGATACAGTCCTCTTTCTCTTTGTCTGTCTTGATATCCTGAACTCTTCTGTACTCTCATCGATTATCATCAGAGAACTTATCAACCTCTTTTTCCCGTTTACCGATAAGAAGACAGAAAGGAATTTTCCCTTCGATATTAGATATCGCAAATCAATCGGCAAATCGGCTGTAAATAGGTGCTCGAAGTCAACAACAGTGACTTCAACTAGCGTTTAGGATTACAATGGTAACTTGTAAATATTTGAATTGCGCGCTTCCGAATCTCAGCTTCACGAAGCTCACGCGCGATGGCGCTCGCGTCGCGCACTAGCCTTTTACCACGAGAATCATTTCTATCTTGTAAATTACACATTTGATTAACGACGTACATCCATTCGACGAGACTGCTCGCGATAATTGTGTTTTCTTTTTTAACGTCCAGCTAGAGGCCACCTTTATATATAATAATGTCTTTCAAAACTCTCCTATCCTCCTCTGATTCTTCTCGTCCTCGTCGCTTCAATTTTCTCTACTTTAACCTCAAGGAGGTACCGTCCGTTCGGACATAGTAGGTGCCTGTTTCCCATCGACGTTACTAAACCACAATGACACTCTGATGATGTCAACGACCCTCCCACAGTCGTGCTCTTTTCTTATTTGTTCCATTTAAAGATTACACTTCGTCACGCAACGTACTAGGCCGTCCGATTGTTCTTTTTTAATCTTTATACTATTCACGTCGTTAATCGCGTTACGGGATACGATTAGTTGCGACGCCCACCACGCACTGTTGCCAATTATTAAAAGTATATTTTTTTGCAATCGACTTTGTTTTTTCTCTCGACGACGTCACTCGCACCAAAGGGACGGACTGGAATAAAATGAAATTTTCACATTTAGAAACGTACACGCGTATCTCTGAACTCTTGTAATTTTTTTCTTTCTCTTTTTGCACGTCCGTCACTTTCTGTCTCGTCCAAACGTCACTTTGACGTTTGTTGTATTTATTATTAGACAATATTATTAGACAAATTCGCACCTTGTTCTTTATCGGATCTCCTTGACTAGTTACTTTTGACGACTGATAGCAATTTCTTATTGTCCTTTATTTTTATTTCTTTCTTAAATACCATCGTCATCGACATTGTCATTCCATGAATCGCATCTTTTTCTAATCAGTCGCTGTTGCGATCCTTATCTTTAATTCATTGTGACGCTTGGTCTTTTTCATTATTTTTTTTTTTTTTTCTTTTTTTTCAAGCGACCAATCCGATTTTTACACAGTTTATTACACGACGTCTACCCTGTATTGAATCTCTTGTCACATTCACTTAACGACGTTCTTAATGCCTGCTCCAAATCTTAAATTTCCTTATCTTGTTACTCTCCTTGTATGGCGATTCTTCCTTTGTTTCCTTATATACATAAAAGTATATATATATATATACTTATTTTTTTTCTTTCTTACTGCTTCGTATTCACGAGCTGTAGTGACTCAACTTTGCGTACACGAGTATACCCTCTTCTAAGCTGTAAAACTTATTTAGCCGTTTTGTAGTTTTAGCGTTTATGTATATTTACTGTAAAATTCTCCCATCTTATGTTTACGTATTATATACGAATATATAATATATAACGTAATGTCCATTACTATTGTGTTGCAAGATAACGTTGAATGATATTTTTATTTCGATTCGCGATCTTCGCTGACCTGGTGCCGAGTCGGGGTATTGTTGTTGATACATATAAGGCGTGTTGAAATTGTATGGAATGAAGAAAAAAAACAATGTAATTACGAACAATATACAACAAATTTTTGATAACGGCGACAGAACACGAACGTAGACACGTGACACCAGGTTCGCGAAAAGCGCGCGCTTTTTAAGTATTCCGTACTTATTATCGGATATCATTTATCATTTTCTGTAGATGTACCTTTAAAAAAAAAAGCAACAAGAACAGCAACGACATCGACAAGAACAAGAACAAAAAAAGTAATAAATTATTGTTTGTACTTTTTCGTTTGTCGTTATTACGTTCATCCGCACGTTTCTATGTATAGACTGTCTTTTGTATCTCTATTTTTATTATCTCTCTCTCTCTCTCTCTCTCGCTCATTTTTTTTTTATTTGGCCAGCTACAAATATCGGTAAGTCCGCAACCGCAGTGTTTTTTTCTTTATTTTTACTTTTTTTTTCTTCTAACCTTATAGTCATTTATTTCACATGCTTGTACAGTGCCCAATAAAAACTTGACACTCGACGGATTTTGGCAGTTGGTGGGTCGAACAAAGGAAGGAAGTCTGTAGTAAAGGTGAAAAATATTAAAAAAAAAAAAAAAAAAAAAAATGCAATGGGACGAGTTTGCGCGTTTCGATAGGAGGAATTAAAAAAAAAAGGAAAAAGAAAGGAATACGATGAAGAGTAAAGTAGGAGAGTGTAAAAAAAAGAATTTAAAAAAAAAATGAAAAGATCCGGGAAGGGGTACCAGAGCTCTCTTGACTTCTGGCATGACAGCAAACTTTGCCTCTGGCAATTGTTAGGGTCGGGCCATAGCGATACGGAGGAGGCAATGGCGGCGGCAGCTCTTCTGCGGAATAAACCTAGCCCTGGTTCGACCACCCTGGAGGATGTCCTAGACTCCCTCCTCGGATTGCCTTCCGCCTCGCGAACTCCCAGCCCTGGACCCGGACCCGGATCCGGATCCTCTATTCGTCATCGATCCAACGTCAACGCGAGTGCCAATGCCGGGAAGAGCTGTAGCGACCTACGCCAAGACCTCCAAGGTAGGAGGACTATGTAAGTTTCCGTTCTGACGATCCTAACTCGTTCGTCTGCCTCGAGTCCGTAAGAGATCAGTTCCCAGACGACTCACTCGAGTCACCACCATCGCACCATCACCCAGTACCACCTCCATCTCCACCGCCGTCATCATCACCATCATCATCGCTCCTGTACTCATTGACGTGGTATCCTGAAACGGCGTACGAACCTCTTTATTATTAAATTAATTTACTTCCTCTACCATTATCAATTATTATTATTGTTATTCACGAGTCCCTCTTACCGCGTCCCGAAGCACACGAATACACACCCAGTGGAGCTGGAACTTGCATCAAGTCTGAGGGAACCCGGCTGATGTCTGTCGCAGAGTCCGTTAAGCACGAAGGGAACAACCAGGAGGAGAGGGCTTCCTACTACGTCGGCGAACTCCTGGTGCGCCGGAAGAGCGAGGGCAGCGACACCATACCGACGCGGGCCGTCGCCAAGGCTTCCAATCTTCGCCACAGAAGAGTCTCCTTCGACAGCCAAGAGAACGGCACCGCCGAGAAGATCATACGCTGCAGGAACAACAAGTGCACCAATTCAGCGACCGCTGCCGAGGCCAAGAAGATCTACAAGAGCTGTCACAACTGTACGTGTCTTTATTGCTCCAGGGAATGTCGAAGGGCGCATTGGCAGAGGCACAGAAGGACCTGCCTCTACTCCAGGGCGGGTGCACTCTGCAGAGAGGTCCTGTCTTCGGCCAAGGAGGATCAGGGCACTCTCGGGCACGTATCCGCCCTGGCACGACGGGGTTACGCCTCCCATGGACGTGGCGCTGTCAAGTGCTTCTTCTCCAGCCCGGAAGCCGCTGAGAAGTTCATCGAGAATGGCTTCGTCGATCTGGGCGAGCCGACCTACGTCAGGTGGTCGGATTTGCTACCCAGCGAAATGGGCGCTGAACTCTTCGCCGAGGTGATGAAGCTCTGCAAGTCGTACAATCCTGACACGCGACTCGTCCTCTACGTTGCTGTCTGCGTCGTCAGCGAGGTTCCTACCAGCGGGGCTGTCAAGTGGGAACGTCAGCTGGTCTCCAGATGTGCCAAGCTTCGTTTGGACGCCGTCTCCAGGCAAACTGGAGCCACTGTCAACGTTAACGTACCATCTAGACAGACTGCCAGTTCACCCTGCAATATCACCCGCGAGATGGACTCACCGGAAACTCTTGTTCTCACCTCTTTTCCTGGTAGCAATGGACAGAACACACCTCAGCGCGCCCGGGAGATCAGCTTCACGAATATACAGCGACAGCTACGTCTACGCGGTGTCTCGCTTCGGAGACACTTCCCTCAGGTCTACAAGAAACTTTGCTCATACGTCGACGGCTCCGTGGACAAATTTGCACCGGTCACCATCTACCCCAGGGATCAGGCGTCGGGGAAGAGCTTCATGTGTATCATAATGCTGGACGCCGAGCCGGAACGACTTCAGCTCCTACCTACGGACTCCTCGAGGGTCAGGACGGTCGATATTAGCATAGAACAGGAATAAACCTTGTTAGGACGATTATATTATAGATATTTATATGTCTTTTGGGAGCAGATCGTCTTTGCTTTTGTTCCGTCAATTGGATTCATTGGGCGACTGGATTTTTTAGATTGGATTTTAATTTGATATTTTTACTTAGTATTTTTCATCTGCTTGTCAGGTTCGCGCGAACGTAGGTTATAGTACATATTTTAGATAACCATTATAAATCGTCACTGTCCGAGTACGTTGTGAGGTTATGCGGTATTTTTATGCCGTCTAAATTTAAAATCAACTTTCGGTACGCGGTACTTGTTTCCTTTATTAATAAGAATTAATGCGGAACAAAAGATAAATTCGATCGAATTTCTTACGATGAAAGTCTTTGCTCACGAATCAAATCCTCTTGTACTTCTCGTTTATCGCTCGAAGACTGTGCGTTTGGTGACGTCATATTGGATTAAAAATACCTTTACGAACGTCATCGCGTGATTCGTTAATATTTTTTGTTTTCAAATCTCAATTTTATACTTCGCACTTCGCGTACTCTACTTCGTGACTCTCGAGGAATCGTCCGTTAAAATAAGTATGGAAGGAAAACTCGACCTCCGGTGTTGGGGACACTGTGCCAAAGACTTGAGAAACGTTAATTTCCAACAAATGGTACCGATCGAGACATGCCAAAAAAATAAGTATGAGAGAGTAAAGATCAAAAAATATATATGAAAGAAGATGAAAAAGTTCCACGAATTATTTATCAGTGGAAATATTTTTCTCTTTGACGCCATTCCATTCCCGTTCTTCTGGGTAGTCCTCGTATCTTGATCGTTAGCATTTACCAACCAAAAATTGCTACTACAACATCGGATTAATAAACGCGTAGGACCAACCCAACTAGTCGTTCAAAGAAATAGATAATGAATTGTTAAACTACAGCCCTTAACCATTATAACCCCTTTCCCCTCTAGCGTCTGTTTTTGTTCCCACGCTCCCACCCTTCCCTTTTCCTCTTCCGAGTATATAGTATAATATAAGTAATACACAGTGTCGCTGGATAGATACGAGAGATAACGGGATACACAAACACGGGAAATTATTAGTGCCAATAATTGCGAAACAGTGCAAAAAAAATACACGAGGGGCTCGCCGATGTTTTGGCAGAAAATCGTCATGACGGTTAAAGAAGAAAAAGAGAAAGAAAGAGAAACGATGGTTTTACGACGATCTAACGAGAGTAACGGTTATTCTTATATGGTAAATATATATATAACATTGGAAATAGCCTGAATAAAGCATATACAGTGTAGGTATATATAAGATTCAGTTATAGGTATATATTGTATATTGCTACGAATAGAGTTTATCTATTGGTTTACTTGTTGCGATATTTATCTACTCTCGAGATATACGTATTTGCGATTGGTTGATTTGAATAATGGCGGGATCGTGGAGCTCGTAAAAAGTGTATCGTGTAACGACATTAAAATTTCGACTTTTTTATAGACTGTACGAATACATTTTTTATGTTGTTATATGTGTGTATAGTGGTTACGGTTGCTTGCCTGTGTTAATACTCTGATAATTATTGTATTTGAATTTTATTCTCATTTGTATAAGATTGTCGCAACTTACGAGTCCACGATCCACGGCCGGTATGACGACGTTATGTCTGAATTATTCTTGCCAAAGGCATTATATTTAGATTCGATAATTCGAAATCGATGATTTGTCGAAGTAAAAGAAATATGATCTTGAGCTAACGATCCGTCGTGACGCGTCATCAGTCTGACTTTCTATAGATTGACACTGTTGAATTCTTCATAGTTCCTTTATCCTATCTATGAGAAGAAGAAGAGACAAGACAAAAAGAAAATAACACGTTGGACGTATTGATTATGTATTTAAATATTCTAGCGTTGTATTGTATTATCGCAGGATAAATTAATTCGTGTTGTTCGTCGCGCTCTGCACGGCGAAAGTCGTAATTGATTTTAAAAATGGCGCCACTTCGAATAGCCGTCGCGTCAATTCGTACGTTTCATGGGAATCGAGTTCAAGAATATTTCTATGCGATTCACTTTACCTTCGAATTCTATCTGTCATTTATCTCACTCCTGTTATACCTGTCATATTTTAATTACTAAACTCTCCTATTTCTGCAGATATCTTACGATCGAAAGTTTGTCAATAACTGTTGCGTATTTGATTCGGTGATATTTTTGATGGAAATAAACTTTGCGTTGTATTTAAAATATTTATTTTGTTCGGAAATAATCGACGTGGCCAGAATGCGTATTTATTTTAGAAATGAGTTACATGTATATGGATATTGGTACGAAATAGAAATCAAAGAAAAAAGTTAATTGCGGTATGATCCGCGCGTATATCGAGGGATTTTCAATAATTAATACTAATGAAGGAAAGATTGAAGAGCAAACGTTTTTAATTATGCGACGTCCAATATGACGAGCGTTATGCGAAATTATCATTTTAACCAATATTTATCGGTGCTATCATGTGCTACCATTGTTTTCGCATCTGTGTATGTCTCAATTTTTCAAATAAAATGTTAATTTTATTACAAATGCATTATTTGTACCTTTCACGATTTATATTAAAATCTTGAAATTTGTAACCGTGGGGAAAAAACGTGTCAGTTTGAAATGTAACTTTTGTGTTTCGGTAGCTAATGTTTTTTTTATTAACGTAAATGTTTATTCTCTACTTATTGTTGACGATATGGCGTATTAAAAATGGAAATATCAATCTGTCGTTTACCTTGCTGATTGCAGGTCACGCCAGTGCTGCACAAGCAGTGTGCGCAAGCTTTGACAGGCGATTGTGCGGCAGTACGGAATCGCTCGTGGTGGTCTTTATTTAATTGTTCTAAAGAATTCGTTACATATCTATAAAATAAGAACCATACATCTTTTTTGAAGTCCCAGTGAGTTTATTACACTTTTTTCAACGTTCAACACCTTTTAAAAAGTTTGCTGGACGTGTCAAAGTATCAGTCTTCTTGTTGATAGGAAAACAATATTTTGCTTACTCAGTAATATATTATCAAAGTAATTTGAATTATCAAAATACTGTGGTGAGATTGCAACTTAGAAGCATGTCATCGGTAAGTTTCTAATACTATTAAACTTTGTTATTTAAGTAATAAGATGGAAATTGGCTGAATCGAAATTGAGGTTAAGTTTACTATTTTTGTTATGATTAAATTTTCGTACTGACACTTGGCAACAGAATTTTACAAATAAGTCTACTACGAACTTCTATGAGGAAACAAGTAATATATGTATAATTGGTTTAAAAGACTTTTTATGATGTTTTTAGGAATTGAAGAAGTTTTTGGTCAAACTCTTAAACAGTGTCGAGGGTTTACACAGTATACTGATCACTGATCGTGATGGTGTACCTGTTATTTCTGTAGTAAATGAAAAAGCACCAGAGTTAGCTACACGTGCAAGTTTTTTATCAACTTTTGGTATGGCTACAGATCAAGGCAGTAAACTTGGTCTTGGGAAGAATAAAGCTCTCATATGCATGTACAGCAGTTATCAGGTAAAATATTGTTTAGATACAATTTAATTAAATATTTATAATTATTTTATTAAGTTTGCAGAAAGGATATAGCAAGTTATATTTTTAATTTATATGAAAATGTGTTACATTGTGATAGTTTATTTATTTGGTGAACTTATTGTAGGTAGTCCAAATGAATAAGTTACCATTGGTGGTCAGTTTTATTGCCTCCCATAATTGTAATACTGGACATATTCTTTCATTGGAAAACAAAATTGATCCAATTCTTAGTAGTTTAAAAAATGCAGTAGTGGAAGCTTGATGGTTGCCTGTTGTACATTATGGGTGATAAACAAGAATGCAACGAGGCCTACAAACCAATGAAATTTATAGCTGAGGATTGTGCAAATCAATATAAGCAGTCGCATTATGAATCATGCGAATGGAATCAACAGCATCGCAGTTAAAATTTAGCTGAGCTGTGTAGTTCAAAGAATATTATCTAGCCCTAAAATTCTCACCCATACATATAACTATTTCCCACTACCATTGCCAAACAGCTCAACCAAATTTTTAACTGCAATCATTTATATGAATTATGTAAATTTTATGTGAAAAAAAATTATTGTCTACACTTATCAAGCTATTGCTGTGTATATCGTTTAAAAAATATAGTAATAAATTTATACGAGATATTACATCTTATTTGACAGTTTTTTCATAGAGCTTTTATAAATCACACAAATGCCGTTTACAATTCATAAACGAGTGGCTTTCCTTCTAGACCATTCAATATATTTTGAGCGGCTACAATTGCCATATCGTTCCGTGTCTTCACTGTTGCACTACCCAAGTGTGGGATCACAACTGCAAAACAAAAATAAACTTCATGTTATGAACACTTGTTTTACCAATTTTACTTTTAAATAAACAAACCAGCGTTCGGCAGCTTAAGAAGTTCATGATCAGGTGGCAGTGGTTCCGGATCCGTCACGTCGAGTCCAGCAGCAAAAATAGTTTTATTGCGAAGAGCCCTAACAAGAGCATCAGTCTTCACCACTGCTCCTCTACCAATGTTTACAAAAACAGCAGTCTGTTTCATTTTTGCAAAAACAGCATCATTAAAGAGTCCACGCGTCTCATTAGTCAACGGCGTGGCAACAATGACAAAGTCACTCTGTTCCAGGAGATCATCCAAGGATAAGAATACTGCGCCAATCTCATCTCCTAGGTTTGCATAAAAAGAAAAATAATCCCACCCGATTAACATAGGCAAAATCATAAATTGATAAGAATAAATTATTTGTATACTACAGAATTCAACAATTATTTCCAACTAATTTCTAATCAATGTATTAGTTATAATCTCACCAGATTTCTTTCTTGAATGTCCAGTGTAAACGAAGCGGCCCACTTCGAAACATTTTAATCGGTTGGCGATCTGGAGGCCGATTTTACCCAGGCCAACAATACCAACAGTTGAACCGCGTAAATCACGACCAAGTAGCCACTGGGGTCTTCTTTCAGTAGCACCTCTGTATTAGCAAGATAGAAAAAAATAGAACAACACTAAAAAAAGTAATTGCAAGAGTAATTATTCAGATATAATTCCAAACTATAATACTATTCGACCTGAACCCGTGGGTTGTTGGCCGAGAGTTAGGGGGGTTCAATGTCGTACATAAGAATAACGTTGCAACGCTGTGCTCAGTCTTGTCAGTACCGTCATCGCTACCGGATGCTCTGTTGCTCTTGAGTGTTTTTTTTTCTAATGATCATCGGATACAGCTTAACGTAAGTCTCTGATTCTCTTTATTAATTTCTCTTTGCTGCTGTCTATGCAATATTTCATAGGAAACCATGCCTTACTGTTCCAAAAGAAGTCGTCCTTCGTGCGCTCTTCTTGAAGCATTTAACGTTAACATTACAGCGATTTCAGCAACTGCAGCGCTCAATACTTCTGGTGTGTGACCAACTTTAATACCTCTTCGTTTAATTTCTGGTACGTCAAGGTGATCGTATCCAGCAGACATAGTAGATACCACTTTCAAGTTTGGTCCTATAATAGATATAAATAATGCAATAAATAAATTTTTATCAAAGTCTTAAAACACTAATCAATGCCTGAAAGATAAAATGATATGTTGTTCTAATAAGCTCAAATATTTTTAATATGTCTATTAGAATTTGATTAGATATATTAGAATTGATACACCCAAGAGGAAATCAAACACAATTGAATTCTCTATGTTCTAGAATTAATGAAGTTACACAATTATTTTGGCCAATAATATTCCAATATTGTAAATCAATGATACACTAGTCATATCCTAACGATAAATTATTGATAGATATATTATTACGTATAATGTATATTACCAGCAATATCAAGAAATGCGGTATTAATATTAGTATGACCACTAAGAAAAATTGCATCGTGTCCAGGAACGGCTTGGCGAACATCATCGTTATTGCTTATAACCTTTTGAATGACAGTCACTTCACATCTGTAAATATTTTACTCGGCATTAATATTTTATATTTTATTTTAATTAATTAACTTTCGTCGGCTACTTACTTCGTGAGCAGTAAATCTATTCCAGCCTGCGGTGTGTCGCTACTTGTTACCAAGACTCGTGGCTTTCCCATTTTTTCTTTTTCAAACAAGTATTAATCAATTCAACTGCGATTCGACTTACTGATAGATTTTCTGCCAACTACTTGAAGTCACGAATGATTCTCTCATTATATAATGACGGCGATGGCTTTAATTCTCTGCCATATTATTGGGCATACTGATATCAAAAGTAGGAAACCGCAATTAGACAGGAGGAAGTTTTATCAGTCTGAAAATACGGGAATTTAATTTAATAACACTTGATACCTATTATATAATTGTAATAACTATTCCTATCTAAGGACATATCATAGTATAGATTGGTATTTTTTTTTCTCAATTGAAAGATATAATCTGTTCGAGTATAAATGTTTATCGTAGGGACTATGAATATTTGAGAATATTTGGATTGATTCTAATTTTTATTTTTTTGGTATCTGTTGATATCAATTAACCTCATACACAAATATTTGTAAGATGATCCAAACGGGATATCCGCATGATGTTTTTCGTTATGGAATTACGTGCTTGAAAATATTTTTAATGTAGCGGATTTGGTGGTTTAATTGTAATTCTTATTTTTATAGATTCTGACAATCCACATTTATATTATACATATATGTATGCATACACATGTTACACCGTAAACCGAATGGTAGTTGCCTGATTGTTTTATGCTTTAAAACATTGTGGAATAATGTGCTTGACATATTAACAATTTCAAAGAAATGGCTGCTTTAATGAAAAAACGTGTTTTAGCAGAATTTACTCAAAGTCAGGTATGTTAATATTTAATTAAAGCTGAATTATTTATATTAAATGAATCCGTTCGTATAGGTTAGGTTTTTTTAGATATATGTATATATGTGTGAATTATATTGTTGTACCCGGTTGTATGCATGTACTGTACCCGGTTGTATGCATAGATCATGCGGTTCATTGTTTCTTATTAATATTCATAAATGTGTTAAGACGTTACTAAATAAATATATACATGGGATTAATTTAACTTATAGGTAATTACTAGCGAACCACCAGCAAAACGTTTGCGAACATTAAGACTTTCCTCCACTGGAGGTAGTAAGAATGGTGTGGGTACGGAAGGCAGTTCCTCATTGGCATATATAGAATTATTAGAAAAATGTAAAGGTGGTAACGATGCATTGCAATTACTAGTTCGCATATCAGACACTGTTTCATATATTCCATCTGAAGACGTTCCATTGGCAGTGAAGAAGCTAGCCGAAAGATATGCTGTAGAATCAGAGGCTGCAGTACGTGCAAAGATCCTCTGGATATTTGCAGAGTTAGGAGAAGTGACTACTGACAGTGCGGAAAAGGCACATATTGTCAATGAAACTGCTACCTTTTTAAAAACAGAGGAATCTCACAGAGTTAAAAGTCAAGGTCTTGCTACACTTTTGAAATTGGGAGATTACCATAGGTACTATATAAAACAAATAGCTTTATAAAATAGCAAAAGTATAGAATACAAAATACCATTTTTATTTTCACAGATCTATTGTGTTACAAACTGCACGAGAACATTTACCAGATACCTGGCACGGTGTTCAGACGCGATGTCTCATGATAATAGGACGTTATTTATCAGTGAACGCAGCAGAAGAGATGCTTGCTCTTGTAGGCAACTATTCTCATTCTCAGGATCCAAGAGTGCGAGCACAGGCCTTCGAAACAATGGCAGAGCTTCACTCTCTTCGAGGCTGCAGGCTTCCAGCAAGCTTCTTCTCGGAGGCTTGTGAAGCTCTACGTGATGACTACGAGATTGTACGCCCAGCTGTCCTTAAAATAATTTGGTTACTTGGAAAAGAGTATCCAGACAAGTATGATTAATTTCAACTAACTGCTAGGTAACAACTAGAAGAAAAAAATGAATCATATTCATATTCCACAGTTTACTTCCTGGTGGCGATGGTGAAGAGCAACGAATGGTCGACTGTGCCTTTTCTCGTATATGTGCTCTGATGGGAGACTTATCACCACGTGTCAGGGCAGCCGCCATGTCCTTGCTGGGTACAATGAAAGGAGTCTCGCGTCGATACATAGAACAGGCACTGGATAAAAAGCAGAAAAGAGTCGAAGACGAAGGATCGGAAGTTGAGGAAAGAAGCGCATCCTGTGGAGCATTTATTCATGGACTGGAGGATGAATTTCTCGAGGTATAATAAACTTAATTATGATTAATCTCATGGATTCTTTAATTTATAATTATCCTCAGGTCCGTACGGCAGCAGTGGAAGCACTGTGTACTCTCTCATTAGAACAACCTGCCATAGCCCGCATATCTTTGGATTTCATGGTGGATATGTTTAACGATGAGATTCAAGACGTCAGAATAAGGGCAATTGAATCTCTAAGAAAAATATCGGCCAGTGTTACACTCCGGGAGGATCAGCTAGAAACTATTTTAGGAGCACTGGAAGATTTCTCTGGTGAAGTTAGAGAGGGTTTACATGCCACGTTAGCAGCGAGTCGCTTAGCCACTCGCAATTGTCTTCATATGTGTGTTAATCGTCTTCTTGACAATCTAACCCGTTATCCACAAGATAAAGAAAGTATTAGGAGCTGTTTAGCTGCTTTGGGAGCTTCCCATCCGTACCTAACATTACCTTTGGTACCACAACTGCTGGGACGACATCCATTTTTCGATATGCCCGAACCAGACGTCGACGAACCTTCGTGTATCCTTTTATTGTTTTATTAGAAAAAATAGTAGTGTGAAATATCAAAATTATTTAATTTCTTTAATTGATTGTAACAGATGCAAGTGTTTTGGTATTGTTATTCAATGCTGCCTTACACTGTCCCAGCATGCATGCACTATTTACAGAGCATGCGGCTAAGCATTACCATTACCTAAGGGATACTATGCCTCATTTGGTACCACGATTGAAACCTACTTTGACACATGGTCCAAATCTTGGCAATAAACCTGTAGAAGATGAGAAGACTAGAGACATACGTGGTCGAGAGTTCCTGGAAAGGATGGTATGTGGTGTGGAGGGTGCAAGACCTGGTGGAAGGGTCCATACACAGCTTTTGGAAGCTGCCGCAATGGATTTGGATCGACTGGCTGAGATGGATTCAACGATGGAAGGAGCAGCTCGTTTTACAGCTTTATATATACGGTGTCTTCTTCTACTTAAATCTGTCGTTAAGGAATTGTCAATCTCTGCTTCGAGTGCAGCTTCGCCTGATTCTGATTCGAATTCGGCCAATAACGTCTCCGCTCTTCTTGAGCATACACAAAAGTAAGAAAGATTTAACATAAATTTCAATTATCACTTAACTCAATAATTGATTCATATATGGATGTTAAAAATATAATTTATTCAGATTGCAAAGATTATTCAGCGGATTAGGGGAGACTGAGATGATTCTGGCGAATGACGTATGGCTCAAGGCTTTGGCCTTAGAATTAATCAGAGTCACCAGAAGTGCAACAGGAAGTGCCCTTCCTCTCGCACGGCACTTCTTATCCGAGGCCGATGCTCTTCCTCAGGACTCCAGTAAATTACCACCGTTCTCAAAAGCATTGGCTCTTCAGCTTCCTTCTCTGGCGGAAGCTAAGCCAGGGACCTTGACACGTCTTCTGCTACCGTTACTACTGACGCTACCGTTGCAAGGTGAAGAGAAACTTCCACGACCATCAGCATCTACGAGACTCTGTCGGGCTCTTATCGAGGAACCTAGAGGCGATGCGGATGCTGCCCTCAAGTTCACTGGCGGCCTTCTTCTGGGTATCCCTCTAACGGCCAAGATTTTAAATCTACGCGATCCTAGCACACTACGTGTTAAACTTAGACATCCTGATCAGCAAGTGCAGCTGCTATTGCCTCGGAAATCTGATTTGAAATTACAAGGATCAGAAGAGAATGATTATAGGTTAAGGACGACTGTACTGCTGTCTCATCAAGTATGGATGGAAGCATGTAATGTTGAAATTTCATTGGCGTTGCTAGTACCATCTTCGTCGGTTTGTAACCACGCTTCTTTGGACGATCCATGTGTGATTGACTTGTGTAAACCAACCAAAGTATCCATTGCTCCCAAAGCGATCAAAAGGGGTATTTAAATGATGATGTGTATATTGTGTATACGATTTTGTAGGATATCGTTGAAAACATATTTTACTCATAAAGCAATATTATTAAGATATAATTATTTAGAGATTTGATTATAAACTACTTGAAATAAAATTCATACCACATTTATGGACTTTATTTAACACATTAAAAAGGATAGAAAATCTTGAGTTTTGACTGACAAAACTTTTATCCGATAGTCATTCAATAGCGAAACAGTCTTGACAGAAATGACGATTTTGAGATCCAATAATTATCGCCAACTTTGGAAGGAACTTCCTCTGCAAAGATTACACACAGTAAATTTTAGAGACAAGATTTTACGTTTGAATTTGGATAATATAAAGTTGTCATTTTATTACTCACCCTTGAAATGATAAATTTTGTTTTTCTTCAGGTGCTTTTCGGGCTAAACTATCAAAGGTCAGAGAAGTCTTGTTGGTCATGGCACTGAGTGATCCAAAGGTATTATTATCCGTAGAACTTCCAAATGGTGCTGGCATAGGACTTGCTCCCAATGTGTTACCGAATCCTGAATGAAATAGATTGGTAGATTAAAATACTCTCTTCTTTAAGCAGCAAAATATATAGTAAAAATATATTTAAGACCTGTAGATGCTGGAGCTCCAAATGTTGTCGTACCAAAGGTACTTCCTCCTACGGGAGAAGACATTCCAAAAATCGGTTTAGATCCAAAGGCTGGTGCTTGACCAAATGCTGCAGCAGGGGCTTGGGCGCCCATTGACGATCCTACTGGCATTCCCGGTGATGATTGTCCAGAACCTCCGAATATGGAACCCGTAGGCTTCGGTTGATTCGCATCGAAACTTCCAAACGTTGGCATGCTTGTGGGTAATTTTTCTCCAAAAGTTATGCCGGATGCTGCATTGCTGGACGCACCACCGAACATCGAGGTGGTGGAGGAGGCTGGGGAAACTTGACTGAAGATTGAAGTATTCGAGGCCGCTTGTGGAGATACGCCAAAGGACGCCGATGCAGCAGGTGCAGCAGCTTTGTTGAAGATGGAACCTGGTGAGGAGGTAGTTGCAGCACCACCAAATGCATTTGTTCCAGTAGAGCACACAGGTGGCGAGGATAGAACTCCTCCGAATAAATTTGTGCCTGAAGATGGTAGAGAAGAAGTTGCAGCACCTCCAAACATGTTTGTTCCAGACGATGAAGCCTGGGTCGATGCCGTACCGCCGAATATTCCTGAGGGTTGTGATACAGCAAGAGCAGGTGCATTGCCAAATACATTAGTCGCTGCAGATGATGTTGCAGCCAGAGCCGGTGGACTACCGAAAACTATTGTTCCTGCGGATGGGGTCGAAGTTGGAACTATTGAACCGCCGAATATATTTCCTGTAGACGTTGTGGCTGGTGCTTTGCCAAATACATTTGTGCTTGTAGATGACGCAGTGCCACCTCCAAATATATTCGTTGCTGTGGATACAGGAGCTGTGCTTCCAAAAATATTTGTCCCGGTTGACGATGTTGGGGTTGCACTAGCTGTTCCGCCGAAGATATTCGCCCCAGCGGCTGTAGTAGAGGTCGACACAGCAGAACCTCCAAATACAGTTCCGGTAGACTGAGACGAAGGAGATGCTGGTTTACTGAAGATGGACGTAGGTGAGGAAGCACTTGGTGTACCGCCAAATACATTTGTTCCCGTAGTCGATGCTGGAGTCGATACCGTTTTATTGAAAAGATTTCCACTTCCAGGTGATGATTCTGTCATTGAAGTAGCCCCACCGAATAGTGATGTGTTTGGAGCAGCAGTGGGAGACGTAGCATCTTTACCAAAAATGGGCGTTGTAAAGAATCCAGATGTTCCTGTGGATGACACTGCTGGCGATGTATCACTTATTGACATAGAAGAAAGGGAAGGGCCAGCTGCGGTAGCAGAAAAGGCAGGTAATGTTGGAGTGCTTATAGTACCTTTTCCAAAGGCAGGCGCTATCGGTGCAGCACCAGCACTAGTGATTACCGACGTCTTTGAAGTAGGGCTTCCCGCATTGCCAAGAACTCCAGCAAAGACAGAAGCTACTCCTGGACTCGCTGTTCCTTTACTAAACGGAAGTTTACTTGAAGCTCCTCCGCTGAATATGGATGCTGCGGGTGTACTACTGCTGGTGTTTCCACTGAACACGGAGGTTCCTAGACCAGGAGAAGCAGCAGTGAAAGCAAGTGTAGATGATGTTGTCGTGAGAGTAGGACCAATTGTAGGTGTCGTATTAGTTGTAACAAATGTTGAAGATTTAGAAAGTATTACTGAACTAGGAATAGTTGCGCCAAAGGCAGATACATCTGGTGCGCTCGTTCCAGGGAAAAGAAGTGTATTCATTGTCGTGAAAGCTCCAGTTGTGGCTGGTGCATTACTTGTAACATTGGCTAGTGTACTAAGCGAGCTGGTATTCTTACTGGACACTGGAGTAGACATGTTACTCTTAAGAAAAACTCCTTCGGAGGCTGAAGCAACTGGTTCCTTGGTAGATTCAGGTTTCGTCTTTGAAGAAACAGTGAATAAAGGAAATCCTGTAGTCTGTGGTTTAGATGATACCGGGGTTCTGCTTGATTGCGATGCATGGGGCGGAGTAGTCACTACAGGTTCTTTCAGAGAAGTACTGTTGAATGACAGTGCATCCATAAAAGATACATCAACAGGATCCTTAGCCTTTGGCAAGTTATCCTTTGCCGTAAAGTGTAATGGTGCATTTTGTGACTTCCCTATGGGGGTTGCAAAAGCCGCAGTATTCGATGTGGACAATACTGATGTTGATACTTTAGGCAAGGACTTAGTTAAGTCATAAGGATCCTGTGCAGGTAAGCCTGGAGAGCCCATGGACGAACTGATCCTGGCAACTATATTGTTTAATGAAGTTAGTGCATTTTCTGGAACCTCTGTAGGTGCATGAATGGGAGGTTGTGCTAATGTAACTCGTTCCACGCTAGGTGTTCTTTTAGATTTGGGTTTGCTCTCTGTCGTTACTGGAGCCATCCTGGCCAATGAAGACAAAATAGCCTTGAGCCTATCCTGTGCAGGAGTTGGATCAACAGCCTTAATCACTCTAGGTGTTGATTCTCTAAAAAGATTCCTTAATTTACGTTGCTTTTCTTCGGTGAAGTTAAACGCCTTATTGGCTATTGCTTTACAACGCGAATCTATAGCACCGCCATTAACATTCGTGGATAAAGATAGGTTCAGATTAGACATTGATGAATTTAAATCTGAAACATTGCTTCCGCGTGTAAGTGACTTCCACTTCTTGGTCTGAACTTCAATCTTTGTTTTCTCTTTGGCAATTATTTGTGTCTGACGCATTAAGCTTTGGTAGATAAACTCCAGGCTGGGTATCTTCATTTTTTCCCTCTTGTGAGATTCCTGTTCAGTCCATTCAAGGTCCAGGAATTTGGTTGCTTGGATCAGTTGGGATTGTACGTAATACATCATTCGTTGTAGCTCAGCAAGTTTGCTGGATTCACCACGATGTCTGATGGTATCACTCATATTTGTTGAATTTTTTGATTTTGTTTCCTCCGCCCAGGCAAACGACTGCAAAAGTAAAGCTTTCAAGCAGGCAACATCACTTGCTAGACTTTTTGTGGCTCCTTGAAGTTCTCTAAAGAACTCATCTATCAGCGCAACTCTTTCACTGAGAATTCTACGTTCTTCGTCTGTAATTGTTTCAAGAACAAGTGGCTCCAGTTTGGTCTTCAATTCTTTCTCGAAATGTTCCTTCTCTTCCCGAAAAGCATCAAGACATAGACTCTCATCGATAGCAGTAGTGTCCTGAACATCAGGCTCATTCAAAGGAGTAGCTTTTAATTCATTAGGTTTTGGTTTAGGTTCTATGCTTTCTGTAGGAACATTTACTGGTTTCGTTTGCTGTATAGTAACAATTGGTTTTGGTTGTTTCAGTTCAACCTGGGGAAGACTTCCAAAGAGATTTGACACCGGTGCATCTTTTGGTCTTTCTAGATTGCCTCCAGTCTGCTTTGGCAAAGGTGTACTAGTGATGCCACTGTTTAAGCTGAAGGACATCTCAGAAGGTACGATACTAGGTCTTGGTTGCTCTGAGATAGTGATTATTTCCGTAGGTGGTTTACAGATAGCAGGGCAATTGGGTTTTAGGTTTATCATATGAAAACTGCAGAGTTGTCCGGATGTGCCAAATATATGGAGCATTGGTACTGGATTAGGTAGAGTGCTCTCCGTACCCCAAGGTAATTTCACAGTGGAGGATTTATCCACAGCTAAACCAACTGGATAACTTTCGCGTCTCTTGATGAAGGGTAGCTGAGCTCTACCATTGTCTACCAACTGCCACTGCACCCAGGTGGTTCCAGAATCATGAGTTCCTAATATAGCTATTTCACTGCTGCTACTACTGGCAGCTATGATGATATCCCACTCCGGTATGTGTTCGAAATAATACCGGGGAGTGCTTTCAGCACCCTCGGCTTCTGGCATTCCATAAGTTATGTCGTCATAGCAAGTAAAAATTCCACTGGCTGCACCTTTCGGTGCGTCGACTATTAGTACATTGATCCTTTGTTCGTTGGGGTCTAGGTATGCAGCACAAAATTGGTAATTACTGATCCATAATACTGCTATTATTTCTCCAATGCTTGGCGACGGGCTCAGAATTGTTCTGGCAATTTTTAAATCCGGCTTTAGTTGCACGATATTACCATTCTTGCAACCTACTGCAAGCTGTTTGCCCTTCGGACTCCATGCTGCGCAGAGTGCCTCGACTCCAGCTATTCTTTCAAGTCCTGACAAACCCACACCTCCCTTTCCATCGCCCTTTATTTGAAAACTACCAATTGTGTGGTCACTTGTTATTGTACAGAGCATTCCTGGTATGCAAGGATTCCATCGGATATCAAAGACAAAGACATTTTCATTCGAAGGAGATAATCGAATCTCTTGCAATAGTTCTAGTTGCTGAAACATGAAGTTTTGAATAACATAAGTTGTGGAATAACTAAAATATAATGTAACAAAGTAATATTCTTTGAAATGTATTCTAGATCAAATGAAAATGATCCTCAAGAAATTAAGAAATATTGAATCAAAAGTAAGACTACTTAACTAACAAAATAAAAGGAAAAAATTCTTACATTCTTTACAAGAGAGGCTGCATTGTATATTGAGGCTGCTGGTTGAGAGAACGTAACTGCCAAGTACGAACAGTCACAGTTGAGAGTAATGCGGGAAATAGTATTTGGAAAAGCATGTTCCAATTTCCGTTCAGTGCCATCAATACCAGGTTTCAATATGGTAATTTTATTGCTCCAAGCTACATAGAGTAAGCCTCTTTTCCCATCAGCAGCCACAAGACTACATGATGTGGGAATTGTTGTAAAGGCATCACATAACTGTTCAACACCTGATTGTTTGAACTGAAAATCCTAAATAAAAATATAAACTTTTTTGTAAGTAATGCAATGATATACTGTTAGATTAATAATGTAAATTCAATATTAACAGTATTTCAAGTCATTTACACTGAAGAGGTTACGTTCGATTATAGGAATTTTGCAAATTTCATATATCTATAGCTTTGTAAAACTAACATTTGAATCTACATAATTTAAGGAACTTTATCATTATTACAAAACGTATTATTCAAACAAATTTGAAATTACGTATCCAAGGTAGTTAAGATAAACATAACAAAACATTACCTTTACAGTATAATAAAATAAGACATACCTGTATATCTTGGGGATCGGGTGGATTCTTCATTGTTTAATTATTACGTAAAATGCGGTGCACAGTATAAAACGAAGGTAAATAGCACAAACATCAATATAATTATTCTTTAATAAACCAACGTTACACTACGTTAACCACGGTAAAGTAACACATGTGATCCGCATAGGCTGAGAAAACGCGGCAAATATAATGGTGAGATTCCAAATTATTAAAATAGTTATACCAAATTCAATTGTTTATTTGAATAACAGGTGTTGATTTTAACAATTTGATGTGGCGAGATAAAATTTTAATCCACAAAACATTCAGTATTTTGTTGTCTAACTTATCTCACTATTTATCATCTAGCGGTAATACATTTTATTTTGAATCCTTGCACCATAATTATAGCATATCACATTCGTCTAATTTAATCATTGTACCACTAGATAGGGACGCGTTATGAAATTTGGCACTGTCAATATTCTGTAAGAGCAACCTCGCCTGTTTCCTTGGTTTAAAATTGTCTATGTCGTTCAAGAATCGGAACGTGCACATATGACGAAAGATGCATCTTCCCCTAAGTATGATAGTTTATACAAATAAAAAAATTCGGACAGGAACATGTAGAGCAAGTACAAATCTAAAAATTTCTCATCAGAGTGGGAGCGCGTTCGTCGGGTGTATCAGTGAAGTAGGGATTATATTCATATAAGCGCCTACGCAGGCCCGAAGCTATCATTTGCTTTGTGCTCTCATTCCTCCAAGAGCAAGTCTCTCATACTGAACTCCTCGATTCTGTCAACCTATTGAAATCTTTGCTTCCTATTTTCCTTATTCATTTCCTATTTGCACCCATATTTCTTTACCTCAACTTCTACTTCATTTCTTTCATTTTTATTTGTTTCTCTTTATTTCCTTAACTTTCCTGATAACGTTATATCCTTATATCTTAATTGCATTTTCGCGGGGAGCATCTTTTTTAGTTCCGAAAAATTGCCAACCTTTTTCTTTTTCTATATTTATTTCTTCCTTAATTCCTTATTTCTTTATCTTACATTCTTTACTTTCTTATTTATCTCTTTCCTCATTTCTTCCACACTTTTGTAACTCTATTCCTTACTTTTTCACTTCTTGACTTCTTTATTTCTATCTTCCTTTCTGCCTTCTCGTTTTACTCTATTCCCCCCTCACTTTCCATTGTGCTTACAGGTGCTTTAACAGGATACTTGATATTTTCTAAAACATAACAAAGACAATTAATAACGTAGAAATCAATAAGTGTTCTATTACAATATAATGTACAAACGTTAATTAAATAAAAGATACAAAGCTGTTTTCTCCATTATTATTTATCCTTATTCCAAGTAAAGAGGTTACACACTACATCCAAACCATGAAGTCTTTGTGTTTCACTCTGTTCCCTCTCACTTTCCATTGTGTATGTCTTGCTTGTCTTATTCCTTTGGTCGGGTCCCTTACCCTTCTTACTTTTCTTACTTTTTCGAGTGTTCCCTTTTGTTGCTCCTCCCGAATAATCTCGTTCCCGTGCACACGGTTTACGCATTTTCTTCTCTCCTTTTTCCCTCAATCCTTACCATCTCTCTTCTTCACTCTTTCTTTTTAACAATCTTCCTCTTTTTCCCTTCAACAACATCTACCTTGACTGCTGTCACCAAACGTTTCTACTCAATTTCCGAATCTCCTATTCCTCTCTATGTCTCCATCACTCTCCTCCTGGTATATCTCCTTAAAAACTAAGTTGTTAAAAAGTCCTTTGGAAAAGGGAAACCAAAGTGGCAGCGCATATAACATACCACACGTATATTATATTGCAGTGATATATGTAATATATCTTTAATGGTACTGTTATTACAAATCTTTCGCGGGCTGTATGTGTATGTCTGTATGCATTCTTGCACTTTGTATACTATGTACTATGTATGTCTGTATGTATGTTTGTACATACATACAGTATGTATGTTGTATGTTTATACATACTGTATCATTATTACGTTTGTCCAATAAATTATCTTTAAACACATATACACGTTGATATTCTTTTGCCCTATGCGAATGTCCCAGAGTACGAGTGAGTTCTGTCTCTCTCTTACTTTCCTCCATCATAACAACATCCTTTTCCTCCTCCTCGTGCCTTATGCTTCGACACCCCTTTCCTGCTATGCTCCATTTTCTCGATCATCATGTCCATTCCACCTCTGCCATATTATCCGCATTCTGACTTCGCTTTTCCTTTATCAATACAATCTTCTAAAAAAATGAATTCTCCTAGTCATTTGCTTAGCCCTATGTTACCCGATATTCTTATTTAGTCTGTGCATCCTGCCTTAATATTTGTTATCTTGAAAAGCATACGGTTACATAGGCTTCAGTCTATTCTTGAATTTTGAAATTATCAAGCATTCATAGTAAAGAAATTCCATTAGTTCGAATTTTAACCGATAAGAGGGCAGCACCTCCTGGGCATGATAAGTGGCGCCATCTCTGAGAGAACGAGTGAACTTTCTCGGATAAAGTATTCCGAATTCAATTTTAAAATCTCATCGTCGAAATTTCAATAAGTAAAATTCTTATTAAAGTATTCGCATTAGTTCAAATTTTCGCCGATAAGAGGGCAGCACCTCCTGGGCATGATAAGTGGCGCCATCTCTGAGAGAACGAGTGAACTTTCTCGGATAAAGTATTCCGAATTCAATTTTAAAATCTCATCGTCGAAATTTCAATAAGTAAAATTCTTATTAAAGTATTCGCATTAGTTCAAATTTTCGCCGATAAGAGGGCAGCACCTCCTGGGCATGATATGTGGCGCCATCTCTGAGAGAACGAGTGAACTTT